TTATACATAGCAAATATTTGTAATTAAAACTTACACTAAAGTATACAATTTTAAGTATAACGTGGTATAAATGGAAAGCAATTTACTATAATCGTGTTCATTACAACCCTTTCATCTTAAACAAGACTTCAAGTGGAATGCCGTCTCAGTCCGCTATTACGCTGTGAAACCTTCTAAATGAAAATTCTTTTCTCAAAAACTGCGTCAGTTTTAAACATAACTACCATAATAAAGCACCATACAGTCTTAGTATTTTTAGAGAAACCGTTACGGGTAAACCTATTTCAACTTATTGTCCTTTTCCTACTAGAATAAAATATTGGATTTAATAGAATCAGCCGGCAATAACATGTATAATCATCGACTTTACATATTTAAAGCGAATAAGAGTTAAATGACATTTGACATCACTGACTTAGCCTAGAAAGGAAATAACCAAACATAATTTTGGTGACTGAACGTTTTTTGCCAGACCATTTCATTGGGAAGGCAGTAACAGATTTCTCAGAATACTTCGATCGGCATAATAATACACACTTAGATAATTCCTAATCACGTAACGTATTTTTTCTAATTAAATTAACCATTGTGGCATGGATTGCTAACAACGTTGTTTTTTTTTACACCGCCAATAAACAACATTGAGCAAAAATTTTATTCAATCCAATCAAACCCAATAAATTCACAACATACATGATGCTTTTTTTCGTTAAAATGTGATGATTGTCGCGCTCACTCAATGCGAAAATATCATTGACAAAATTATCTACACCCTGTATATAAATAAATAACAATGTGTTCAGCTTCGTATTTGATGACAAAACTTCTGCTACAAATATTTTCAACAAAAATAATCATATTATATTTTTTCAGTTTCAATTTATCCTAAATCCTTCGGGCTTACGGTTTGAGAACTCTATAACATTGTGGTCGTTTCTTCGACCAACATCCGCTGGTAAATAATACCCGCATCCCCGTAATTCCATAACCAATTTCCAGGTATTCAATTTGTGGTCAACGAAATATTTTTTTTGTTATTTTTTTTGAGACAGGGATCGCGGGCCCTTGATTAACTTGGTCAACAGAGTATAGCGATTTGTTCCGTTTACTATCGAGTTTATTTTAATGTAAAATAACATTTGATGACCCACAAGTTCACATATCGTCAAGTGACAAAGGGATGTTGGAGTTATTTATGTAGTGAAGGGGCGTCGCAGCTATAATTAAAATTTGCATCTTTAGGTCCGTTTCAGCTGTATCCCTTCAAATACGTATTTATGCTTTATATTCAAGTAATTTTTCTTGAACAATTTAAATTATAATATAAAGGGGTTTTGAGGACTTTTAAATTTATAAAGATGCCAGTAAAAAGTAACTCGGACGTAAAGGCTAAGTTCTTGGCCACGTCATAGATTAGAAATGAAACCAGTCTAGCTTAAACTTGTTGGCTTTAACGATAATCCGACCGGAAGCCTGACAGCCGTTCATTTAGTACCCGAATTTAACTCAAAGAAGCTTCACTGTTCACTGCAGTGGTGCTTTGATATTGACGCCTCTGTTTACTTAACTCTCACAAACGATTGGAATACATCCCCTTTATTTTGAAATCTAAATGGGAGCAAACCTTGTAGGTATGAATGTAGTTACCCAAATTCTGTGGACAATTCATGTAATGTAAAATATCAAATTTAACAAACGAAGCAAAGGAAACACTCTTCTGTCCGACTGTCTATTGTTTTAGAGACACGTTAAACTGACTTTGCAATGAAATAGGAACGTAAAACAGGTTTAAATGTTACCTTTCAAAATAAAAGTATGGTTAGTTCGCTCAAATTTTGTATTTCGTAAATTGGACTAATCAGTTGTTAAAATTAGGTTATCTATTCCCACTAGACACGGTCTGCAATGAGGATTCAGTTTTCCACATTAAATGAAAACGGTGATGGCTAATAATATTAACATAATCAGCGTTTAGAAGTCTGGGAATGTTAATTTTTGTTACAAATTAGTAAATAAAATGTTTTTAGAAGACTCAGCAATTTTCAGCGTATTTTAGTCGTTAGTATGTCGCTAGAGACGAAAACCCAATGATAGATTTATAAATTATACAGATAAAGATGTAGCAATGGTGATGTATGATGCAAATTTGAGCTAAAGCATTGAAAATTACCCTAAGGACTGAAAGGACCTTAAAAGTGAAACGTGGACGTGAAATGGTTCAGTGCAAAAAGTGCAAAGTTCGCGTGGGAGAGTTCATTGTAAAATATATAAATGGTTCTGAAATTTTTTGCAAAGATATTGAACATAGCTTGGAAGAAAGCATAAGGTTACTAAGTTTTTTTTTATAATTTCGTGCAGACGAAGTCGCGTGTAAAAGTTATTATGAAATAAGTTTAATAAATGGATACAGATGGTAATCAGAATATGTATTCAAATTGACTCCATTGTTTTAAACGAAACAAAACGCTCCTAATCCTTGAGTTACATGTACGATATAACAAAACATATTCCTATTCCCGACGCCGGATAGACCATTTATATTCCGACACAGACGTATAAATAACGAAAAGTCTGTTGGATATTGAATACGGTTATGAGGACGGATGCCGGGCGCGCAACGCTGCGCTGTCGTTTGGCGCATTTTGAATTTTTATCACGCATAGCTCTCCCCGCCGGCTAAGATCATCTTCGGCGTAAGCTCACGATCGCCTACCATGAATATTCATCCAGATAAATTACACTTGCTATTTAAACCAAGCATTGTTTGTATTCGTTTTCCATATTACATGGAAATAAAAGTGGTAATTTATCAATGTACAATTACATATATCAATTGCTTTCATGTATAAATGTTCATTAGTTAGGATTCAAATCAAGAATATTTTTTAATGCCTTTACTGGGCTATATTTTTTATCTCAATGGGACCCTTAGGATGAAAATAGATAGTCTGATCTAGCCAACTACTACAAAATGAATAGTCATAATCTAAGCTGTTCACAATTAGAGTGTGGTTAATAATTTCATTAAATTTATATATTTTCATAGTACTACATAATCTTTGTAAGTTTAACATCAATATTTTGTTGTTGTCTGTTTTGGTCAGTTAAACGGGGGACTCATAGGGATTAGTAATCTAAATATAAAAGTTTTCTTTAGTAAGGCTTTAGGTAGACACCTAAGTGCAGATGTTAGCATTTGTAATATAACTATTGGTTTACGCTAACTAAACACTAATATTGAAAACACTTACATAACAATGTACATATGTATATTCAGAATTTAATGTAAATAAGAAATTGAATTTAAAAAATTTCCCCGACTAACATTGTTATTTATTGTATATGAATTATTTTGGAACATTTCAGTGTTTAAATTGATGATTTAAACAAATATCTGTTTATAATGAGTTTGCGACTAGATTGTTATGAAGGTAAAACTTAATTTCCATTGAACTCAATAATATGGGTTTTTCTAAAGAGATTTAATTTAAATACAGTCTTTTTTCATAAATTAAATGGCAACTAACCCGCAGGCTGCCTTCTAATTCCTTTATGATAAAGTTATTAATAGTATATGGTTATTTATTTTATAGTATATTGTGTAGAGTAAGCAAGCGGCCACCTGCATACACTGAAAAAATTAAGTGACTGTGAAATAAAGTTATACAGTTTTGAGGAAAACTAGTTACAAAGGAAAAAATATGTTAATAAATAGCCCCATGGACAAATGGTGATTGTATTACCATACAGGGTATAAAATTATTTATTTTGTGATTGGTGATGTAGTATAAAAAAAAGTTAATTTTTTGTCTCGAGGTTTCGAAATGAGCAATATTGAACCACAAATGCCATTGAACCAATCAAATTAAAGGTTATGTAAACAAAAGAAACAATTAATTGAAATTTTAAGATATCTTAAAACAACTTGGCATTTCAGATCTATATTAAAATGTTATTTATACGATACGGCATAAATATTTTTCATCAATTTTACTGAAAATAGAAAATATTACGTTACGTCAACTTGACAATGAAACTTTTGTGATGTTGAAAACACCAGTGTTTGAAAATATACAAGTTGAATAAACTTTGTTTTTAGTAACAAGTATTATCAAGACTTGGTAATGAAACTTTAAACAATGATTTTATAGTTATTTTCAACTTCAAAAAGTCTTTTGTACTTACACAACCATGCCATAGGCTCCTTCTCCGATATATTGTAAATTGGTGTATCTAGGACCGACTTCAAAGACCTGGCCCCTCACAATCTCTGCGTTAGGGTTGGTGCTGGCTGCACCTGCGGCCTCAGCCATTGCGACGCGTTCGAATATGCAATAACCACTTAATTACAGATTCACAATTTGTGGAAGACAGTTTTGATGCCTTCGTTAGCGAATATCAATAATTTAAACGAACTACACCAGTTTTAAGTCACAAGTATCCAACATGAAACCCAAACAAACTCATATATCCGACCTACATTATCCACAACCTAAGCAATTCCACCACTTGTCACTCGCTTATCATTCTCGTTTGCCGTACACCCGACTTTCTTGGACACTCCCGCACGGACGCAATACCGTTACAAAAGTGAAGTGAGAGTGAGTAAGATATTTCTATCTATCTCTGTCTCTCCGGAACCGCATTTTACGGTATAATCACAGATTAAATAGGAATTGGTGACAACTATTACGCCAAATTCAACTATTATTCTTATTTACCGCTATTTATCGGCATCATTTTATTCTATTTCTTTTAGCCTAATTAGCAATAGATTTTTAAATACAATTAAGTTTATAGTAATGAAAACTTCATTGATTCAACTATATCTAAAAAATGTACTGGTCCTGTAAAGTGCACTATTTCCCAAGTTTTCTGAAAAATCTTTATCATTTAAAATCGTATTAAATTCAAATCAATTAAATGATAGCTGTTCGAATTTAAGGTTGGTTGAAGGAAAAATTTAGTTTTATTACAACTGTTGACAACCATAATCCAAACGTCATACGTCAAATTGTCAATTGTCAACAATTGTGACAATTTTATGTGTATTTTGTATCATACATTATAATTATTTTAATACGTGTTATATGATAGGATGGGAAAAATAGTGATTTATTAGACTGTGCAAGTCAAATTAATTGCTTATGGGAATCTTTGAACGTACTTAATATCTACGCTAGCAGTGACCTCGTCAACTACAACTCGAAGGACTGTCGTGCGATTTTTTTAGGTATGTCGGTTTGGTCAGCCAGTACGGTTGGAAATAATTACCATTACGCGCATCCAGCCAGTCGCGACAGTCACTCAAATAATTGGTGTCCAAACTTAACTAAGGTACGAAAATAAAAATGTCAACGTAACCAATTGAGTGCATTTATTATTTGCAGTTGTAACACAAATTATTTTACGAGTTTCGCTAATTACCATTTTATGTAGTTTGTTTAATATGTTATATTGTATTGTGCATTTGTACTGTACATTCCTTAATATTTATCTCAAATATAATTTATTTGAAGTGCAATAAAATTTTAATTCCTCAGTTTGCAGCTATAGCTCTGTCTTTTTTTCAAATTAATTTCGCATGATTATTCTGTTAACATTCTGATACTTTTAATGTTTGTTATCATATATCTGAAGAGCTAATTTTAATTTTCTCCCAATTTAGTGAGTCTGTTGACCAGTTACCATACATTCAGTTGAGCTGCATTGAGACTGAGTACTGCAATTTTTCTGTTATTAAAAAGTGAGTTAATATCTCAAATTGGGGATTATCAGATTGGTTATGGTTATTGTGGTTTATTTTTGTTGTTATAATAGTTTAGTGCATAATCAGTTTGTCACATTTTGAGTTTCTCTATCTGCTAACAATACTACTCAATAGTATTGGTAAATGTATTCAGTAATTTCAATACATTTGTTATAGTAGTTTTATTCATGTTTGAATGTGCTTGTAGTTGACTTTAATGTTAAATGTCACATGTATTTAGCTGCACCATTATTATAACTAAAGTTGAACCTGCATAAGTGAGAAACCTCTTTGTATATCAGAGTCCAAGTTTGCTCCCAATGGACATAAGCAAAACATTTGTGTTAGTGAGACACTGCTATAAGTGATGTGGGTTTTGGGCTGGGTTAGGTAGGTTTATGAGTAACATTGTAATGTTTTGGCAGCTAGTAAGTGCGTCACAAAAATCTACATATTACTACCACACAATACAATATTCATAATTCATTTAATTTGTCTTTTTCTCAAGTGTCATGGAGTTCACAGGTTAACAGTTAATTGAGTTTTTTTTTTTATTTAAAAGTTAACTTTGATATGTGTTGGTAAGTATATTCAGGTTTATTTGTCTTGTAAACTTAGTTTGCTTTATTCCTTTATAATTCTTAATCCACTTTGTCCTTGCTTCAATGTTATTAACACAGTGAAATGTCATAGCAAATTCATTATTAATGTTTATGTGTGGTATTGCCAATTTTCGGATAGTTAAGTGTACTACTTAAATGGTATAAATTGATAATTAAGATTTTAAAAATTATTTAATATTTCTTTTTTCTTATTTATTTTGAACCATAATCTTGTATCGTTCATTGGGTTAGTTTATAAATGTATATTGGTGTGTGGGATATGTAATAAAGTGTGAGTAAACATTTTTTTCTCAAAAACAATGGTCTTATAATTACAACTTCATGTAACATTTACTTAACTAATAAATTTCGAGTCTTGTTTTGATGATTTTATGACTCATTTTGCATTGAGTAAATTGTAAAAAATATGTTTCTACTAAATACATAACATTGGCATGTTAAATTGTTATTCAAAGCTATTTAAACATTAGATTTTAGAACACCCTTTTCCACTAGCGCAACTGACTTTTTGCTATTTCTACGAGTTGACGTTTCCACTGGCGATTTGTAGACTTTTAGTGGAAAAGAGGCCTAATTTGCATCCTTCAACAGCACAAGTGCGTGATGTCTGGAGAAACGCCAATACAAACCGACGATGCTCTGCATACACCAGCATACTTATCCTGGAGGAAGCTTCAGCTCAGCCGTGCCAAACTCAAGGCCTCAAGTAAAACATCAGCCTTGCTGTCAGGATTTGCTATGGCAAGTAAATCTTCTTTATCCTCTTTCTGCATGTCCCCTTGTGCATTAAAGAAGAAACACATGTATAACTGAATAACTTCTTGGAATCATCTATTTGCAGCGGGTAACTGCTTGCTCATTTTGTGTCTTTTCCTACAAAAGAATCTCATTATTTTAATTTGTCTATGGTTGTTAGACTCTGTTTTCTTAATGGTATGTATTAATCATACACTTTTATTACTCTACCTTTTCCCGTCACGATTTTAAATGTTACACTTATATTTACATTGTGTCTAAGAATGACGACACACTAATTATGGATAAGTTATTCGAGCCGCCATTGATTTAATTTCGTATTGTTTACTATTATGCGTAGGGTTCTATAGCGAATTATGTATGTTATAAACTCATTTTATATATTCGATGATTCCTATTTATAAACAAAACTTTTGTTTATAATTCAAATTACGATGGTTGTAAAAATATACGGTACACAACCAAAATTTTCAATAATTAATTCTACTTAACAATGAACACGGATGATAAACGGTATTAATTAATTAAAAAAAAAGCAGTATACATGGCGCAAATTGCTTTGTGGGATACGATTGTTTACGTAGGAGCCGCCGTGTTTGACCTTTCTAAGTATTGCTCCGTTGATATTGCGGGTTTGCTAGTTCTACTGTGACCACCCGTAACCTAAACTGGTTAACCAGTTTTACATAAGTACGTATTATAATATTGTAAAGTTTAATAGCTTTGGTCGTTAATATTGTTATAAAAGGAATTTTGTTAATTCTAAGAATAATCGATTCCCATTAAAATTGTTAACGAACAATGTTATTTTTGACAGAAAATAAGACCTTACTACTATGTGTTAAGGTCAATTTACGAAGACAAACCCTGATCTTTATAATTTGCATATCGTAGTTTGAACCATGAAACAGTATTTCCTTCTATAAATAAATACTTTTTCTTTTTAAGAAAAAAAAAAACACATTAATAAATGAGAAGCGACGATTAAGAAAAACGAAATGTTATTGATACCCTAAATGGTAACTCGTTAAGGTTAACTGCTAGGTACGCTTAACCGGGTTTCGCTTGCTAAGCCCTTGAAATAATCGAAAAGAGGTCATATATAGTTATTAATAAGTTGTGTTGCATTGTGTGAAGATTAAATATGATAACAAGTACTGGACAGGCAAAAAAGTAGGCACAAATGATATAGAGTATTTATAAAATTCTAGCTGTCGCCCGTGACTCCGACCGCGCGGTATTAAAAAAAATGTTATAGCCTATGTGTTCTTTCAGAATATTTTCTACACTATGGCACATTTAAGCGGGGTCAGTTCAGTTTTCGATACCTTCAAACAAACTTCCATCCAACCATCCAAATTTTCGCATTTATATAATAATTATAATATTAGTTACATTTTTGTATAGATTTGTGAGTAGCGAAAATTCCCGGTAACATCTCCGTGCAAAATTATACCTCGAATTACAGTTGCTGTCTCACAACTGGTTTTCATAATATATTTGGATTCGGATAAGTGAGAGTCCAAGGGGTCACGATTATAGCTCACCCGAGTTTCTCGCTTATATAGATCATTCGTCTGACAATGGTTCTCGCTTCATGTCCTGTATATTTTCTTATTTTGTAATCAATGTAATTTTTTATATTTACAGGTAGCTATGGTTGAGGTGCAGTTAAATCAACCAGAGGACACGAAAGTACCGCCCGCGATGTTGGTAGCTTTCACTGTATGTACGACATTACTAGTGGCAGTTCATATGTTGGCACTCATGATAAGCACGTGCATCTTGCCTAACATTGAGGCGATTGGCAATCTCCACAGTATATCACTTGTACACGAATCGCCACACGAAAGATTGCACTGGTATATTGAAATCGCATGGGCGTTTTCAACATTACTAGGTCTTATTCTGTTCCTAGTCGAAATAGCTATACTCTGCTGGGTAAAGTTCTACGATCTTAGTGTAACAGCAGCTTGGTCGGCCTGTGTTGTACTTATTCCGGTCATGATAGTATTCCTAGCTTTTGCTATTCATTTCTATATGTCTCTAGCGACACATAAATACGAAGTAACCGTCACTGGTATCAAAGAGTTGGAGTTACTAAAGGAACAGATCGAAATGGGTGATCATGATGGTCGTATGAATAATCTAACGTTACTAGAACAAAGTAGAATTGTTTGATGGAATATTTTGTATGTTATATCGGATTGTTCTTTTATCTATGTAAGTTAGTTACGCTCACATACAAGTAGCGTTTTTATTAATTAATCATTGTTCCATGAATTCGCGTTGTTGTAACAATGCAATAACCGAAACGCTACGTACTTTATCTTTAGATATAGTGTAGGTACTTAGATAAGTACTTATATGTGCCAATTAATGGTCTTTACTATTTTGTATTATATTGGAAAGTTTTGATTTTTTTTTCATAAAATTATTAGGTTATATGGTAAAAAAATGACAGTTGAAGCTCCTCAGAACAGTGCACTGTTTCAAAAAGTTAATTATCTGTGTGCCTGAATCGGAGTGTATTTTACTACGCAACCTTTAAAGTCAATATATTAAAAAAATATCTGATCGACTCAAAATTCAAAAGTTAATTGTTTTACGTCTTCTAAATATCCATTCAATGGATCAAAATTTTTAAATAATCTAGTGCTCTCGCAATTGTCTTAAAATTTAAATACGCAAGACACTAATTTCATTATCAAACTAACCTTGAAGTCAAGGAAAAATTTAGGAACAAAACTAAACATACATTATATTTGTGTCGTTTAAACAGACTTCACGGAGAAAATTTTCTATTCGTTTGTATGTTTTTACACATGAACTCCAACAATGGAAACCAATGATGAATCCTATAGAAATTTATCTTAACCATGCCAATATTCTCCTGGTATTTACACTGATCTTTATAAATATCCACCGGATAGAGAGCTGCTTAGAAATGTCAGTTTCAGCTACGAAGCTGTCATTTCTGTCACAAGACTGCCGCCAAAATCTATCTCTATTATATTTACGAGTTACCAAGTGCTACAATCAACGCTAATATGGCAAAAATCAAATAGGCACAAAATTCCGTGGCTTATAGCCTGTCCAGTGGAGTATAAAGTTCAGTGGGTATTTAGTATAGAAGATTTTTGATGGTTTTTTGACATGCAATATACATTAATGTAATTTTTTTTGTAAAGAAATATAAAAACGTGCAAATTCTCTTGAAATTTATAAATGTAACCGCTTGAGTAAGCAGGGAATGTAAACACGCTGTGACTTATTAAATATAAAAAAATAAGAGTTACTTAATTCAATGTAATGAATTACTCTGTGATATAATTAATGACATTGTTACGATATCTGTCAATACCCTATGTTTAATATAATTTTTTATTTGTAAAAAAAATAATTTTACAAACATTGTTATGTACGATCTGATATAGATAATAAAAATTATAAATTCAATCGATGCAGTTTTTCAATTTTTTGTCGATGTCACCAAGTATCTGAGATAACCAAAGCTTGCTCTCTTCTAGTATTTCTCTTGAGTTTTGAAGAGTTTCCTAGAATTATTGAAAAAATTGTTAGTATTATTTATGAAAAATCTTTACGATATCTCTACTAAAGTTTTATCTCGAATTACTGTTTTTTTTTAATTATTCCAAAAGAAAAATGTTATGAAATAAAACATACCGGAGGTATAGGATATTCTGTTGGGCGGATACAAAACTGTCGGACATTGATATCTAACATTTTAGACTTTACACACAAATTATCTAGCCAGCAGCCTTCTTGAAGCTGGCCCGTGCTCATGTGGTAGAAACGACCCAAACCATTCTTCTTATCGTTTTTCCAATTACCTTCGTAGCGATTACCGTTCACTAAAAATTCGAAGATCTAAAAGTTTCGGATGGTTCAATTACATTTTTTGGTTAAATGGACATATCTTTGATACAAGAAGACAAACTGGGAGGCCGAAGAGTGATCATGCTACTCAAAGACATCCACAACACCAAAAGAACTGCAAATGTGTTGCCGATCTTAAAGAAAGATGTAAGTTCACTTTTTTTAATATTATAAGGTGGCAAACGTGCAAGCGGCCATCTCGATCTTTGGATTATTATTAATTGATTTGTACTTTCTAACTTAGTATAAGCGGTATTAAATTCCCAAGACAAGTTGCAATGTCATTTAAGTACAAAGGGAATTAAACGTTCTCGAGTTCCTATGCTTCCATTCGCTTTAAGTTCTTCATGCCCTAAACAGGTTGTAACAAACCATTTGTTCTTACAAATATGACCCAAGTTACCTTGAACAAACATGCCTAAACCTTCCTTTACCCCCATATGCCAGTACCCGACGTATAGCGTGCCATCTGAGTACCACATCTTTCCATATCCATGACGGTATCCTTTCTTCCAGAAACCAAAGTAAACGTCCCCATTCTTATAGTACCTCCAGCCGACGCCTTCCGGCTTACCTTTAACCCAATCCCCACGGTATTCCAAACAAAATGTTCCATTTGATAGACGATTACTTAGAGTCCCATTACCATGTCTGGGAATATGAAAGAATTTTGGTATTTGCAATTTTTTTTATTATTTTTTGTTGGTGGTTGTGTTATTTGTTTTAGCAACACCTTACCTGAAACCATTGTACCAATCCCCTTCGTACAACTTGCCCCCGATGGTTAAAAAAAATCCTTTACCTGTAAATATATTAAAATGTTTGTCTTCGTGAACTTTTCATTTAAATAATAATTAGTAATGGTAATTTTAAAGATCAATAGATTAGATAAAATTAGCAAGACTCATGTGATGGTGACTCCAAAGATCCATTCTCCATGACAAAAAAATTTAGTTACATACAGTGCCATCTATTAGCAACATTGATAAAATGATAAGGAAATAAAACCGAAAGAAAAAGATAAAACGAATTCATTTATAACAATCTAATAATGTGAAAACTAAGGAATTCCATCTCTATAATCCAAACAAAATAACTTAAAAACTTGTGTATTTACCAACCATGTTTCAAGTCATTCCTCCAATCGCCCACGAATTTATCAAAACGTGATGTAAATATAGAATGATGAACATTGTTTTTTATAGACTTTTTCTCTGATATCATGCACAATGGTGTAAAATTTCTAGGTTTCCGGTAGAAAGGCATTTTATTTCAATAAACAGATATAACTATAATATAGACAAACATTAGCTCAACTTGTCAATAAATTTGACAAGACATATAATTGACAATTTTATCAATACTTTTTCCCTGCTTCTCGAGATTGACTTTTTTTTAAAACCAAAATCCATCTTACTAATGTTATAAATGTACTGTTTGGATATATTTTAAAACTTATCACCAGAATGGCTCAACGGATCTCCATGAAATCTTGCATAGTTGTAGAATATAGCCGGGAAGAACACTTACTCTATTTTTTTTTTTTATCTCCACTGGAAGGAGTCACAGGCGACAGATAGATATAAATATAACAGTAGGAATTCAGTTATTTAAATAAAATACAATTAAACTAAAACATTATTTATTTGATAATATGTAAAATTAAAACTTCAATTTTTACTTAGCTAAACATTTAATAAATTTTTTAAGCTTCTCCGTGAGCCTTCCTCAAGCCGCGACTGAGCTCCACCATTTGCTGGTAATCTTCTCTGAAGCCTTGTAAAGCGAGTTCTTGCTGACTCTTCATAGCAGAGTTTTTCGCGATATATTTGACAACACAATCGATACACTGGTTGTCAAGTTGGATGTCAACTTCCGATAAACTGTCAGGTTTTGATGCTTGCACAGGCATAGGAAGAACCTGAAAGTGTAATGTATGACTGACTGCATCTTTCAGCTGTTTTAGACAGATATTTGTATTCTATTAGCCAAACTATTAAGATCGTAAACAGAAAAAAATTCTAATCAAACATATGACAAGTGAAAATTACATAAAATATAAATTTATAAAATAAAGCAATAAATTTTTTATTACTACTTAACATTTTCAATACACCTACATTGTTCCAACAAAATTACAACATTTGTAATGAAAATATAAGTTAATGGTGACCATCTCTAATATATCAAGTTTCTTTCCATTAAAAGTTTGTCTTATAAAATTAACAATTAACTTACTTGATGTACCAATGCATTTAGATCACTGGCAAATGCAATATCCTCATGAATGGCTTGCCTCAGACCCATCAAGAGCACAGCTTCTCTTATAACACCCGTTTGCAATAATTCCAACATCAAGTTGTCCATTGATTGATGCCACGTTAAATAGAAGGCCAGAGGACCGAAATGCCTTGTTGATCTGAGGAAAGATTTTTCCAGATGAATTCAATCAATTCAAGATTCATCTTGTAACATAATAACTTCGAATTTGACAAAAGGTTGATGCATAGTATTTACATGGGAGCAATAGAAAAACATAATAAAAAGCTTAATGTATGAAATTATTCATGCTTCAAATATAGGCTTACACATTTCCATAATGTCAAATATGTTGTAACATTTTAATGCAAGACATTATAACTTGAACTGACACTTACCTTAACAATTTATAATTAGTTTTCATATCAACATGCTGATAAGTTATACTTGTTACTTTCTGGTATGACAGTTCATCGGGCTCATACTGTATGCAAGCTCGATCAAGTATATATTCATATTTCTCTGCCTCCAGTAGACCATTTAATTTTTCTTCATCAGCAAACATCATTGGTTCTCTTACTTTGCGACCCTGAATTGGAAAGTATATCTGAAAAATGTACTTGTCATTTTTAGAAAACCTATGAACTACTGAGAAAAAGCCTATTTATACAATTACAACAATATGCTATGGAACGGGGGAAATAATCTGATGTCTTCTACTTTATAACAAAAGACAGAATGTATTCTTTAAATATTATTAGTAGTAACTTGAATCTTACTTCTTACTCATATTATAAATGTGAATGTTTAGATGGTTGGATGGATGTTTATTTGAAGTTATCTGCAGAACGGCTAAATAGATTTTGATGAAATTTGGCATACATATAGAACATAGTCTGGAAGAACATATAGGCTACTAAATAAGATTTTTTTATTCCGAGCGGTCAGAGTTGCGGTCGACAGGTAATTGTGGATAAACATGTGTTCTATGTTGACTCACCTGATTAAGTCTTTTTCGAGTATCATGATCACACATTTGTAGTGTACCATCAGGGTCCCTGGAAATAGAAAAAGTTCAACATTATTTAACTACATAAAGTTCTGTTTTCACAAGCTTGTCCTACTTGTATGCATTCAGAACAAATACACAACTGTTTTTTGTCAGTCTACTGTACTATATAAATATTTTAACTGATTTAAATGTAACAGGAATTTATACAACTACTATAAGGTAATACATACATTTTTTAATAGAATTCAGATGAATAGACAAGTGGTGTTTCAACTTTAGTTTTATATACTGTTAAATAATATAGTCAACTGACCTTTCCACAATAAGTCTGTCTTCATTTGGTACACCAAAAGTTATATCTGTGAACAAATACTTTGTATTGTCATATCCAACTAGAGCTGGGTCCTTAGATAGAACCTCATTAATTGGCTGATGTACCTGAAAGTAGAACCAAGACAATAAGTAAAAATGAGACAAATATGTCTTAAAATTGACAGTCAAACTATAACAAAATCTAATTAATCTATGTTTATGTATAATTTTAGCAGTTTAGTATATGTAAATTGATTTAATAAATGACCATCATTACTTTGGCTATATTGGTCCATTAATACCATAAGTCTTTTCTTGTATGAGGCGCACTATTTAATCTGGAAAATTTTTATCTATTTAATTAATTTAATGAGAAATGAAACTACCTTGACAACCGGTGGCATCTGCAGCAATCGGGCAGCAGTCTTATTGGCTTTTGAAAATTCACTTTGGAGTTCCTCATTTGTTAAAAACTTATATTCTGGTGTTTTAAGAACAGGTCGGTTGCTATTTGTTCTTTTGCGAAATACTTTTGAGAAATCCGGTCTAGTCAATCGTTTCAAAAGTGCTTGGACGCCCGACGAAAAAAATTTAGGGCCTGGATCTTGTTCCCCATCTATTAAACAAAAATATAACATTTAGAGTACTATGTAACTACGTAATAAGTTTAAATGTATCTTTTCTTATTACATAGTACTAACTATGTAATAAGAAAAGATACATTTAAATATGAGGGATTTAAATATTTACCGTACACGGAAGGAATAATACTTAATTTTCGAGATGAAATAGCAAGAAGCTGAAAATGGTTGTATTGTAGAACTACGTTTTTATGGATGAATTTATGTAGTGACATGTTAATATGAATTTTATCTTCAATAAAAGCAGTATTTTATGATCGCATTGCTCTAAGCGAGTTGAATTTTCAGTTTGGTTGTTGTTTTAGTTTTAGACAATTTTATTATAGGTTAGAATTTGACTTAGCAACATAGAGTAAGCTATATGTGTGTTTTTGGAGTGTGTCATAGAGTAAAGAAGTTACTGTGTAACACTTCCGCTGAGAATTTTTTTTTAATGCTGGGTCTAGAGTCTGCACACTGTAATAAAACTGTTCGTAAACGACGGCGCTCACCCACGGTAAGGCCGAAAAAATGAAGAGAGGTGTCTTCGTGCCCCAGCTTCAGTTCAACAACAAAAGGAAGTGGCGGAACTCAACGGCATCAACCTCTATGTGTGGTGGCAGCACCACACATGATCTGTCATTGTCATTTTCAATGAGATGTGATTTGTGTGTCTAAATAAAAAATAAATATTTTAAGGTGTATTTAGATGTATTGAATTTATTGATTTTACTGAGTAAAATGAGTTCTTATAAAGCAGTTTATTAAATAGATTTTCATAATCATGGCAAAGAGAAAAACGGGAGTGAACGATATTATATATGAGTTGGACAACGATGACACAGAAAGCAGCAGTGAAGATGAAGTTAAGGGAAATAAGAAGAAACGTTTTGAGACTAATACCACTTCCAAAATGACTGCAATCAAATCTGTTTCTGATAAAAGTATAGTAGATATGACTACACCTAGTAATTCTATGGACGATAGTGATAGTATAATTGAAATTGAAGACAAAAGTCAGAATGGAGGGAAAAGTTCGGTTGTTGTTGTAGAAGACGACAATACTGAAGAAGAGATAAATAATGATGAGTTGGATTGTGTTATTTTTTCGCCTGCTGAAAATCATGGACAACGAAGTGTTGACGGTCCTGAAACTGTTATTTTAAATGAAGATATTACTGTTGACTCCCCAGCTTCGATTAATGGACCGGCGTCAGTGGTCGGCGAGAGTACATCGCCACTGATTACTATTCGTTTCAGAAACAATAAGCTGGCAAGTAAATATAAACAGAAGATTAAACTTTTTGTAAGTAATCTATTGTTAAGTGATAATGAAAATATTGTTACCGAAAGTGATACAGAATTGGACCTTGCTATTTGGTCAGATAATGTAATTGCTGAACAGCCAAAAGCGATGGACGACAATATTGACATGAATTTGTTTTTTGTTGATACAAATCCAAAAGAAGATGTGGATAATGAAATTCCAAAATACACACAAGTAAGTAATTGAATTGGCTTGTATTTTACATACCTAAATACTAAAATATATTATTATTATTAAAGGTTTTAAGGGAGATGACATACATGATAAAATACAATAGTAAATGTATCAACAATATATAATTTATGAGATATATATGTAAAATTTATTATAAGGCTTCCATTTTTATGAATTAAAATCAGTAACATGGAATTAAAAACATTCTTAAAAATTTTTCAATATTTTTAGTCTTCCAAAGTTATTTCAAATGAGAAAGAAAAAGAACCAGAGCCTTCAAAACCTCTCCGAAAAGGACCAATTTGTTTTAATTGTGGAGGGGACCATATTTTTAGAGATTGTAAATTACCAAGAAATAACAACAGAATTGCTGAAAACAGGAAGAACTTATCTATAAAACATGGGTAAGCAATACAAATTCAACATGATACAATTTAAATACATTTTGATTGAAGGTTTTTTAATTGCATTTTAACCTTTGTGGAGGCTCAACATTAGCTGTACATTTCATAATGCCCTCCGACAGCAACCATTTAGGCCCTGCTACAACTAAAATGTGTTGTGACCAATATGACTGTATGCAAATGGCTAAGATATTTGAAATAAACAATGTAATATTTCTTGATAAAGCCATACAATAAATGGATAAAATATTGATAAGAGTTAAAAATTATATCTGCTGTAAGCAACTTTAACTTTTTGAATATGTTGTGTATTCATATTGTCTGGGAAATTTCACATGTAAATTTATATTCAATTTTTTCTGCTTAGTCGATACCATGTTGAAGATGATCAGAAATATGGTCATTTAATACCTGGAAGGATATCAAATCAACTACGACACGCACTGGGTCTGAAGAGGAATGAGTTACCTTTACATATATACCGCATGAGGATGCTCGGCTACCCACCCGGCTGGCTGGAAGAAGCTAGAATATCACATTCCGGAATATCTATGTTTGATTCAGCTGTATGTTATATTTTAATGTATATTTTGATATTGTTTTCATTGCGTTTTTCAATGCATGAATCAGTTGCAAGAAATAAAACTGCTAGATATATGTCACTATGGTCTGCAAAATATAGCATTTTTATTTTTGATGAAGATAATAAAGTGTTAACATGATTTCATTGTCTCTGTTTTATGATGATTAGTAGTAGTAGATTTTATGTCATTATCATAGACAATTAAATATGAATAAGCAGGGCCTTAATGTAGATTTCTTACAAACATCTGTACAAAATGACTTAACATCTCTAACCACAATAGTAAATTAATTTAATAATGATACATAGGGTAAAGTGATTCTGGACGAGGGTGATGAAGAAGGGCAGATATGTGAGGCCGGCTCCAAAGATAAGTTTGATATTAAGAAGATACTTGACTTTCCTGGATTTAATGTGCCGGCCAGCTCAAGATATGTTGAGGTATGTATTTTACCTAGCAATAAAGGTAACTTAATTTTTTCTTAATGAGACTTAAGTTGAAGTATACTATTACAGCAAGGTCATATAGTGGGTGCTCCTCCAATCTCAGAGCAAGATAGCAAGATGTTGATGCTTCAGACATTGGCACCAAATGCAATGAAAGCATATAAACGGAAAAAGTTGTCAATGTTTCCATCTGGTACACCAAATGACTCTCAAATCAGTCTAACAGAGATGGAATTGGACAGCGGAGATGGTGTGTAAAATTCCATACTTTTGATTCATCATATAATCGGAAATAAATATTGTAGTTTTAGTAGACAAAATTTTTCTTTAGATTATTGTTATCTATATCTATCATATTAACATAGTATTTACTAATTTTTTTTTTATTATATTATACTTCAAACTTATTCATACCTTTATTAAATATTAAGGTCATGTTTAAACCTGTGTTACATTAACAGAATCATCGGAATTCCCACTTGTGCCTCCTCTGCCCGACGAGGAACCGCCCCCTCTGCCGCCGCCTCCCGACTCACCTCCACCTTCACTAGACACTACCCAAGAGATATCAAGTCAAGGTGAGTCTAACACTATTTTGTATGAAAATGCAAATTATTTTTGTTTTTTCAAGGTCATTATTAGCTGAAACATATATGTACTTAACTTTTTAGTTAAAACATTTGTGTCTTTTTTATTTTTTAATGTTATTTGGGTATCATTTTCACAGAAGTTATAGGGTCAACTAAAACTGTGGCCACCTCAAAAGTTAAAGAGAAATCAAGTCCAAAGAAGTCTGAACTTAAAGAAAAAGATGGAAAAGCTTATGATAAAAAAATATTTGTCTCGGCATCGGAATTAGTAAATATTCCAGTGCCAGATGATGACTTTATCATTATTGATGAAGATTTTGAAGACTATGAGGTAATTATAAGTTTCATTTTATTTTTATAAAATTTGATATTAGTTTGGACATAGTTTTGGTAGTTCCGTGTTATTACTCAATGGCAATTTATACTTTATTTTTTCTTAATCTTAGTGATGTAGCTTTTATGGTATTCTTTTTGCATCTGTCACCAAATAACAACTGATAATCTGATTACTAATGTTATGAAGAAAAAAATACTTTGATCTACGGACACTGTTATAAGCAAAATAATATAAACCTAACATATGAGGGCAAAAGACGTTGGTGGCTCAGTGGTCAAGCACTTGACTTGCAATCTGCAGGTCCTGGGTTCGAATCCCGCCATGTACCAATGTGTTTTTCGATTTCCGATTTACATATGTACATTTATCCGACGTTCTTACGGTGAAGGAAAACATCGTGATGCAACCTGCACATATCTGAGAAGAAATTCAAAGATATGTGTGAAGTAAACCAACCCGCACTTGGCCTGCGTGGTTGACTATGGCCTAATCACCCTTAACTTAGTGTAGGCTCCGAGCCCCTCGGTGGGGACGTATAGTGAGCTGATGATGATGATATGAGGGCAAACTTAATATAAATTTGTGTGGTATTAATTTGTTAACACATGCAATGCTGTATTTATTAGTTGGTAGAGACACTTATATACTTTTGATCATTTCTCACCAGCACTATTTAACAATTTTCCGCTTTGTATTTTGTATGGCTCGCTGCCTCTTTTCAGGATATACCACAAAACAGCGGCACTAAAAGCCCTAGTTTGAAAGATTTGGAAGATGAGAAGAAAAAGCTGTTGGAAGCTATCAAAGAGCAAAGTCCAACAAATATTTCCGATGTATCAAGGGAAATTGAAAAAATTGTTGATGAAACGGAAAATGAGCAAGTCGACGATGAAATTGAAAAGACAGATATAAAGAAAATAGAAGAGAAATGCGACGACAATGCAAACGAATCCGTAAGTGAACCGGAAACTACTTCCACTGTTAGTAAACAAGTAAGTACAAACATTAGTGAAACCACTAACATAGAATCTGAAACTTCTAAGACTTGTCAGTCACCGACAAAAACTGGTACTATAATTAGTGAAAATACTAACAAAGACTCTGAGCCGACAAAGACTAGTCAGCCAAAATCAGAGACTGATATTGTTATTAGTGAAACCATTAAAACAGACTCTGAACCAACTAAAACTAGTCAGTCAACCCCAAAAGCGGGTATTGTCAAATCCACATTTTACGGTACACCAGTTTTGAATGTCGCGTCTCCTTACGTTAAATTGCCGAGTGACGATAAGTTTGCTAAAGACATTTGTGACGTCATAAACTTTGAGAACTTACCAAACTCAACGGGTAAATACAAAAAGATATGTAACCTTCTTAAAAAGGTGAAAAGTGAAGTCGATAGGATTCAAGAGTCATGATTTTAAAATTGACTTAAACAAAATTACCAAGACTTGATGTACAATAAACCACTAAGTTTGTAAGGAGGATTTATATTTTTTATAAGGTTAGGATAAAAGAACTGGCACATACATATTCGTTATTTTTTGATTTAAAAAAAAATATAAAGACATGTTGAACAGTAATCCTTCGTTTGTAACATACATCGTTGGCATTTTTTACATCTGTAAATATATTCTATAAATAAAGACTGCTCAATATTTAATATACTAATAGATAAAAAGATCCTATTGGATCTAGATAATGTAGCTAATTTTGTCGAATGTCCATTATACGCATTTCCTTGAAATGTAAATAAAATAGCAACTTCTCATTACATAATTACTTAGAAATAAATAAAAAATTATTGACTTTTCTATATATGCTTCATTTTTTTAAGCTATGTTAAAACAAACAAAAATGCCTTTAGTTTTATGACTTCCCTTAGTTATGACAGTGGTTGTGAGCTGAGTTCATTATATTTTGTATCTTTTTTATTAGTATTCATATTTTACATTACTTTATGCATTTAAAAATCATGTACAATTTAGAAAGAATTAATTTTGTTGAATTTTGAGGACTGGGCGAAGGAAATAATAGTGATTTCAAAGCGTTAATCGCTCGACAGCCGACAACGCAGAGTTTTAACGCGGCGTTAATAAAGCGCTTGTGCGAATAACCGATAATGAGGCTAGTGAATAGTTCAAGAAGCCAGCTTATCGTAAAACATTCATACAAAAAATATTGTCAATTTTACTTTGAGGTATATCTTGTATGGATGTTTTCTAATTTAATTTGAAAGCCAAATATGGAAGAAATGAGGGTAGATAGACAAAAAAAAACGTGTATGGGAGAAATTGAGGGTATTCAAAGAAAAGAAAATCAAAATTTAAATTACAAATATTTATTTAATTGCACATAATTAATACAAATCTCGAATGGTGTTTGTCAATATTACATCGCGTGGAAAGAAAGCATAAATAAATATTTTAACCCAAACCCGAAATCGAAAAAAAAAACTAAATCTAAGTATCACAAATGACGTCAGAACGAAATGTACCTAAGTAGGTATGTCAAAGATCAATTAATAAAATAAGGCAAGCAAAAATGTACCAATTGCTACTGGAGATGTAAAGATTTAGCGTTGATCTTATATAAATATTGTTTCTAAATATAATAGGGTTTTGTGACCAACTTTTATAAAATTCAAGTATTATTTTATTTCATTAAATTATAGCACCAATGTTGAAATAAGAAAGATAAATATACAATTTCGAGGTAAAAATCGTGAAGAGATTCGATTTGTAAAAAGTTTAAAAGAAAAAAAAACACCAATACAACATAAATGTAACAATTATGGAATGGTTGAAGAACTTTAACACTTATCATTTGTATGATACATAATTCAACTTGTGACGTCACAAGACACAATTTTCTTTACATTCGCTAAAACATATCAGTTTCTTCAACTGACATAATAAGAAATATTTAAATAACATCAATACATACTAATTTGAGATAGATTCTATACATATTGATAAAGAACTATGTTGTTTTTTTTATTATCAGCTTTACTATCACTATACTGATCTTACCGACAAGTTATCACCAAGATGTTCATACTTACATGATTGGGTTTCACCATACTTATAGCTATATAAATAAAATATCAGTGTTTGTCTTCTAAATCTTTCTAAACTATTGATCAGATTGTGATGAAATTTTAGTAGAACTGAGGACGCCAATGTCTTTGACTCCAAAAATACTTTTTAATTATGCTTTGTTTTTGATATCTATATTACATTGCATTGCAACTCTTGCCGGGTTTCACAGCTAGTATTATATATATTGGAATTAGTTTATAAAACTTTTTAAAGTTTTCTCTGTCGAAATTAATTTATTGGTGGCGTAGGCGGTGCTCCGTCGCGGTCCTGTAATTTAATCAAAAATTTAAATTATAAATGCGAATGTTCAAATGGATGGATGAGTTTTTGTTTGAAGGTATCTCTAGAAAGAGTGAAAGGATCTTGATGCAATCAGTGTGGAAGAACACATATGCTACTAATTAAGGTTTTTTAATTATTCGCGGACGGAATCGCAAGCGGCACCTAGTGAATAATAGAATATAGTCAGCATAGTTGATTCCTAAGTTGGACATAAGCCCGAACCAATGTTTTTAATACGTATTTTTTCCCATATTCTTTTTTAAGATTGGACTTTGGTTACAATTTGCCAAAATCGATGATTAATAAATCTTAGTCAATTTGACATCAGACGTAGAATTACGCACAAATTATAATCTTAGGTTTCGCATCAGTTTGTTACGTATTTATGTAGAATACAGACTAACAGCCTTGTTCGTACGGTAATATTAGTTTGCCATTCGATACCGGACGGTGACCATGGACAATCGTTTCCCTATTATGTTTATTTAATTCAAATAAATACATAAATAAGCTCCACATTACATAATAATCGCTATTGTCTTTTCGAACAAAATGCTAATTAACCATTAACATTAAGTGATCGATGATAATTATTCCAATAGCGTTTACCACTTTGTATTGTCCGACAAGTTATGCAAGAGCATGTCATATCGTTAAACCTGTTTTACGATTTACGCTTTTATTTTTTCACTTGCAACGCGTACTTTTAACCACTTATATCAGCAAAAAAATTTTACGAATGTAAGGTAAAAGCTTATGATAAGAGGCTTCGAAAATATTATTTACATTAGCCAGGGCTCGTTTTTACTGTCTCTACAATTCTGAAGGTTGGCCGCTAACTTTGTGACTGTAACTAATTATGAGCCAAATAACTCTTCTGCTGGCCAGGGTTTTTATTTATTTTCGAACCCTTTATTTAAATCGCTAACCTACATATACTTATCTCTGTCCGGAACATTTTTTGTTTCCGTCTCGAAACATTGTGTATTATGTGTACACAAAGAGGCTTGTCATATTGTTTTATTATATAAAACTGTACGCCAAAGCCCTAACCTGGTATTACAACCTAATCACTAAATGACTCAAATATAATAAGCATATGCACTTATAAGTCTTCTAAATTGCTCTTATGCAAAGATTTAATCATAACTTCATGTAAATATATGCACATACAATGAAGAATACACATACAATAATATTCTAGCAAAATGTAGTTTTGTATTTGATTGTGACATATGGATCATGTTTCCATAATATGATAATTTATCACGCCACCCACACATGCACAGTCATATGACTACATTTAAACTGTATCTAATATATTACTATGCTCAAAAAGTACACAAGCACAATCATAAATAACTCACAAAATCAAATTTACCCTATTACCTTCAAGTTTACTTCATGCCTATGTATGTGCTTCAAATAAAAACTTGCAATCTACAGACATGCTAATTTGGTAAGTAATAAAATATTATGTAAGATTATTATGCTAGCTTTGTAAAAATAATTCCCTGAACTGTAGTAGGTTCAGACTGGAATAAGGATAAAAAAGAGGGACATCTCTTTCCAGATCTTAGATTTAAAAAGTTGGGAATGGGTTGTTATAAGATAAATTTTTTACGTACTTGGGAATTGGGCGTTGGTTTAGCGGCGTCCTGAAGCTGGTTACGACGCGGACGCAGCGCGTACATGGCGACTGCGAGCGCCATCACTATGAACATCATCAGGAAGCTGTTTCCGGCGGACTCAGGCCGTGGCAGCCCCGGCAGCTGCTCCAGGCACTCACTGTCAGTACAGTATGCTTGCCCTTGTCGCAACTGTGTTAAAACATAAACAACTATATTGTCATGAAATTCTATAAATTCCTATCTATGTGATTAATACTTGTTAACTAACATGTTATAAAAATGAAAAAAAAAACCTACGCAGGAACCGAAGCACTGAAAAAACTAAGAGGCACTACTAACTCATCAGTGCAAAAGTAAACAAGTATAGTTCTGGAAAATTTCTACATTCTTCATTGTTCTACTCTACTAAAATCATTTTGAAAACAACATCCATATAATTTAACAGTAAAAATAGAATTCCTTTGTTACAAAATTTGGAAAAGTGCCAATAATTTACTTTCTTAAAGTGATTTAATGTATATAGACTGGTATATAAAATGTTTAAATAATGTTAAAACATACACTGTTCTTGGTAATATTACTCTTATTAGAGATAATAATTAAAAAGTGTTTAAAACATTTTCACTATTCCAATATGTATGATAAATCAAATAACCTAGTTATGAGTAAACAGGTCAAGGTTGTAGTAAATGCGCCAAAATCTTAATTGATAAACATACAAAAGTTTACGATTTTGTATAACTTCTATACAATTAAAATAAATTTCAGAGTTAAATGGTATAAAATTGATTTAGGTATTGGAACCCATGAATTTGTTATCAATGCAAACTTGCAATCTTAATTATTCACATAGCTTTATAACAAGCAATGCAATTACAATATATAGTGATAAGAAACAAGTATTATGTAGAGCTTGTTATTTTGTATAATTGGAAGTTGTATATTATAAAAGTATATTAAAAATTAAACTACTCCAAACATAATTAACAAATATTTTGCCAGCCATTTGACCTCAATCTTTTCCTTGTTTCGTCATTGAGTTCAAATAGGTTGATATGTCGGGAATTACTTATTATCAAAAATGAGTTACTTAAAAAGATTACATTTGCATTTTATATAATTAGAGCGAAAGTGAGGACGTGGAAATGTTTAATACTCTAATCATACTTGTTGAGCTACAAGGACGTCTGATAATGTTAATAATGTTGCTTACCAGTGATATAAGTCGTCGCATCGCCAGTTCATGATTCCACAGGCATTCGCAAGGATCCATCTCATCGGCCATCTCTGCACAAATATTACAACACACTCAATTTTCCTCCCCGTAATATTTGTAACTATAGGAATTTTCCTTTATAATAAAAATCAAATGGTATTTAAAATACAGCAAAATTTAGCACCAACAAGCTATCTCGAAATTACTATGATATCTTAAAATTAAAGGCGATTATTGTCTTTGTTTTTATTTACAAATAAAAAACATTGCCAATGATCTGTCACAGGAAGGGAAAGTGATGCTGAATATTATTTTAGAAACTATTGTACCTCCACGCAATGTATTTCGGTTAAAATAAGAAGTTCGCAACAACTAATATAAAATTAGTTTTTTTCAAGCGAATGCACCTCCGTTGAAATTGTCGAAATAAACGAAAATTGTTGGCAAATATTAAACAAAGTCTACACCTGGGACGACATTTTTACACTGTGATTGTGTATGCTTGTAGCTTTGTGATTGGTCGTAGCAAATGACGATTCTCTATATCGACCAATCAAATGCCAGGTCAACCTAGTTTTAATTAAAAGATGTTGCCAGAAAATTAAATTCTACAAATTCAGTGAAATTTTGAAGATTGTTTGGTAGGAATCAAGTTGGCCATAAAAGTATTTTAAAGTTTAACATTAAATATTTTAGGTTGGTCTCTCAAAGTTAAAAGGTATAATATTTGTCTTCCATCGGTCATTTTCCTCAAGTTTGAAGATGATGGTGACCAGCTTCATATTTCCGTACGCATATTACATCTTAGTCTAATATGGTATTAAATACGTAGGTGTAATTTTACAATCAATGTAGAAATGAAAAGCTAATTTAATTCTAAAATTAAATAACATTTTATCGCAACAATTATAAAAACAAACATAATACAAAGTGATTAGAAAGTCAAACCTTAGCAGAACATCGCAATTACATGAATAAAAAAAGATTTACAATAAGCGTTCCAATGCTGACAGGATAGGGTCTTTTATCACCTTTGTATGCTTGGTGCTCCTTGCTGAGTACCCAGTGCTGATATTTCGCGGAAAACCTTAGGATTATCCTTAGATTTAGAAGACAAAATAAGAATTTGAGACAATTCTGAAGTCAGTAATGAGTTTGTACACTTGATATTGATTTTCATGTGGGTAACACCGAGAGAACCACTGTTTCCATTATAGCGATATGATAAATGAGAAATCTTAAAAACAAATGAGAACTCAAAATGGTTTATACTAACATTTTGTGACATGCGACGGAAAAATTTACACATCCGACCTCCTTTTTAACTCAAAAATATTTTTTTTGGTATCTCATCACCTAAAGCGAATTTTGAAAAATAAACAACCCAATACTGTAGACACGGAATGATTTTTACAATACAGTATTTATTTATTTAATGTTAGTACATTAAAATTAGAGAAACAAAGTAACAAATACATGGAGATTAGCGGTGTACAAGTGAGGTTTGGATTGGATATTATCCTTAAGTTTAGCGAACTATCATGAAACTGTATCTTTTTCGTAGCATCTTACTTCGTACTAATATTAAAAAATCCGAGAATGTTTAGATGCATGGATGGTTGTTTGTTATAAGGTATCATAAGAAAGGCTCAAATACAAAACAGTCACCTAGTGAATTTTTCCGTACTAAATCTACACTGAGCGGCTCGTTTAGTAAAAACTCAATGACGTTGAGCGCGGAAACAAATGTATCAGCGGTCGAAATTACATTATACCGAATCAAAATAATTTGCCACGGTATGTTGCTTTAAAAAAATTAAAGTTTAATCTATGATATATCTATGATAGTATTATGTATACTGTGGAGCAATTCCCGTGACCTCAATACCCTCTGTAACATTAGAAAGGAGCATAGAGCGTTCCGGCTTTCAGCAGCAGACAGGCAATTTAATACGTATGTATGTATCTATCCCTACACTTTCTGATATCACTTCGTTTGATGTCACTTGTCACTGATGGCGGGTGTGATGGAGAGATGGGCGTGTCTAGTCAAGCCCCGCCCACCCGCTTGGGACCACGCCCATACTTAATTGATTTTACGTTTGAAATAAGTTAAGTGACAGAAAAAATTGCAACACAGAGACAACATTTTGGTATAATAATTACTTTTATATGGATGTTTCATTCTTTCATTTACGTATTAAAATTAATGAAACCGCTCTTATGGTTTGATGTTTTATATTATATAAAAAATGTTGACCTATGAAATTTAATTGCATTATATTTTAATGTAATTAATATTTAAATTAACAATTCAAACTGTAAGGCTATTGCTAAGAAAAACGCTTCTTTTACGCCATCAATCAAACTCAACTTACCTTAAAATTTTGGTTAGGTATGAAATGCTTCAGGCAATGTAGGTAGATATTTAGTAGAAGGTTTGTTGTTTGTTGGACACCCAGTTTTATTACTATAACACAATATCTTATCTGAACAAGGTATCCTAACCTATATTTGTCAGCTTTTTCAGGGTAGTCAAAAATATTTAAAGCTATGCTACAGGTTAAGGCATTGAATTTCTTAATTGGAAGAAAACTAAATGAAAATCACAACTTAACATAAATATTAAATGAGTGATATTAATTGTCTTATAATATGCCTATATTGTGGAAGAATAGAGAAGTGGGCATTACCGGGATTTCAGGATGTGAGGGTAGAGCCCGCCCCGTGCGACGCGTGAGGCGGCTGCACAGCGCACTCGGCTGCGGGCACCGCGGCGCGCGGACATGGCGTCACTGACGCGCCCGCCGACCCACACGTAAGTACACTAACTTTTTTTTAAAATTTATTTAAGTCAAAAGTATAAGGACACATTCTATTTCCAATATTTTCTAGACGAAATTAAGATGTTTATTTTCTTTTAAACTACAATACTTTGATCAATACTTGATTTTTTTTAAATGTGCCTATAAATGTTTTCATGAAAATGTATGAAATTTAAGTCTTTAAAATTTTTTAAAAATACGGTAACATTTCAGGTTTTTGGCAATGCAGGAAAATAATGCATTTGAATATAAAATGAAATAAAAACTTTACGCTTTAGTTTTGATAATTTTTATTACTAAAAATGTTTTATTATTGGGAACGGTCTGAACGATACCTCAGAAATTTTACAGCATTTTAAACAAATATAAAATAAATATGTATGAAATACAATTTAATTTATTCTAAAAAAAATGGTATTTACTAACCAGTCGCATTATTAATCCCTCTGCTTTCTAATATGTGGCGTCTACTATGAAATAAATGTGGGACGGATGAAATGGTGACATGACCCACCACCATCCTGACATGGAAAGGGTTTAACGTGCGACACGCTAGTTTCCTTTGCAATAATTGGGAAATTTAAAAAATATCCCAGGAAACTTTACTAAGTTTCCTTGCCGTAAAACGTTTTGTGTTGTTGGTTTTTGTTTGTAAAATAATTAAATATAACACTATTTATGCTTTGTTATAAATCAACATACTGTCCATTTCTTGTACGGATCATCGGCACGGTGTATACTACTCTTTTTTATATCTCTATCAGCCGTAATATTTATATTTGGTCCCTTTTTTATGCACATCCTCTTTCACAGTCTATCCAAACTTTGTTCGGACTATGTCTACTCTTGAAATCATCCCCGCTCAAATCATAATCTTTATTTTCTTCTTCTATTGTAAGATCTCGAGTGTAAAATATTTTTAACGTAACTGCATTCGTGAATAATTTTAAATTTATTTACTAGCCGTCGCCGGCGAATTCCTAAGCGCCAAATTAAAAAAATGGCTTATATGTATAGATTTGAGTCCCTGTATGGAATACCGTAAAAATTATATTTCGTGCACATGATTTATTTGTGATAACGAAAAACCAATTTTATTTTTTTTGTCTGTCTGTCTGTATGTCTGCCCGTAAGGCCGCGTTAGTTGTTCATTTCGATGGGACTTTGAGAGGAAGGTGATGATGCACGCGGGCATATTGTAGGCTACTTTTTTTATTTGCGCAGAGAAAGTCGCGGAGAACCACTAGTTTAAAAAAAAATAGGTAACTTAAATCTACCTAATTTGCTTTCTGTAAAATTACAAAACATCTAAGTGATTAGAGAGAAATTAAAACTAAAATCGTTTATCGTTAATTGGTTATTAAGCGAGACAGTTGGTATGGTTTTTTATTGCAAAATCTACACTAAGGGTGACACTTAATACCGTGGGCGACGGTTGAAATGAAATATTGCGGAAAACCAATAGCGATGTTAACACGTCGATGGGGTCTCTATACGCATCATATTTGCGATTCAATTTGTCGCGCGTCGTTAACGCTGTTGTGACGAGGAGTTTTCCCGCGGACATCCGCTGCGCGCGACAGCCTCTCAGCCGGACATGCAATACGAACTCACTAGGGTTGCCAAGCACTGTTAATTATATTCACGTTAAATCGATTTCATGATTCTCGCCTGGAGGTAAATTGTAGAATAATTCTGTGCACTTTTGTTAGTGGCTATGACGTATTATTCTAGTTGAAGTTTAGTTAATATAGCTTAATCGGTTTCGTTGAAGGACGCGATAGAGAGGAATCTGTTGGGTCTTTAAGTAGGGCCGAGGTAGAATCGCGGGGCCAAGGCTGACTTTTGGTTTACTCGTCACTTGTTCTTAGTTAGTTAAGCAAACTTACAATAAATATTACTAAGAATCGTAAGTTTCTTTAGTCTTTATTTTGGAAATTATTCGCGAAAAAAATATTTACTCAGAGACAACCCTAGAGTATCAGTGCTCTATGGGCAGTTTCGAAAACAGGTGCTTCATCATTCGCTGCGGCGGGAGTGTGTAGCGATTGTCACTTCATTACAACGGGTCGGGTTAATGGAGGGTCGATTCGACCGCGCGAGAGCGACGATTATTTCTGACGCTTTAATTAAGCAGATTTAAGGTCAAGTGCTCAGTATTTCCGACCATGGACAACTTGACGGCATTCAATGAGTTCTCTTTACAATGCTTTTCAATTATGCTTTTGTAAACGTTTTTCGTTTTTGCCTATGTTAGCTAAATTTAGTTAATATTTTAGAGGTAACCGAAGGCTAGTAAATTCCTAATATATACATCTACGATTTAAGATAGAACGTCAACATCCAATTAAAATATAGTCTAATATTCAGTTTTAGGTAAGATTTAACGACTTACAAACACTAACTAAGAGCTAGGAGTGGAATAATGGGAAGGGGAATAAATCAAATGACATAATATTTGTATTGCGATAATGTGATGACATGGTTTGTTTGACCGATGTAAATTTGTCGCAGGCTGAGGCGTTACCGACGTTCGAGGCAGTAGAAGGCAGTAACAGCAGCCAGCAGCAGTAGACAGGAGGTCGGAGGCAGCAGTATGGCGTTGAAGACTCCTACGCCGCGCGACGGCGAGCGCGAGACTTGGGGCAAGAAGGTAGACTTCCTGCTCTCCGTCATCGGGTTCGCCGTCGACCTTGCCAACGTGTGGCGCTTCCCTTATCTTTGCTACAAGAATGGAGGAGGTAAGTATACTAACAGCTGCACAGCATCCCGGGACTACAAAATATTTTAAATTTTAAAAGTTTTAGTTCTACTTACAACATTTTTAGAGTCATAATTTCAAATAGAGTGTATTATTTCGTAAAATGAGATTTAATTTTCATTAAACATTTAGGCAGTACGTATTATTCGCTATTCATTAAGCGACCTCGATCCAAGTTAGGGCGAGTATGTAGGGCTGCAGCGGCAGCGCAGCTTTTAGCCTGGCGTAAGAGCCTGAGTGCCACTCGCCGCGATAATTGTTGACAACCCTACTTACAACACGAATGACTGCACCATTACGTACTCTCTACAGTTTGTTAAGGCTCGATCTAAAGAAAAACAATATGAATTCATTGCTCGTTAAAAACTTTTGAAAGAAATAATGTGTTTATGATTAAGTACCATGTGCTTACTTTATACCATATTTTTGTCTAAGCTATAGCTTTGCTAAGGACAGGCACAAGCTTTACTTATACATTATTTTTTGATTTGTTATTTGGAGAATCGGCTTCCGTATCGCAATGCGTCCACATTTCTTTAAAAATATTTCGTAGTCAAAACTTACGTCTTAACTATTATTTCTGACAATGTCTTAAGATTCCTTTCATCAAATACGTAAGTGTGTAGGTATTTAGAATGCGAGCAATGGCGTCCTGATTGCACGTTACCTCCTGAGGGCTCTTCTTGCGTAATAGTCGGAGAACAATCCTCGCCTTGTGCCCGCGCCGGCTGGAGTGCCTGCTAGGGCCTCTCCACTACTGCCTCTAATTGAACGCTTCACATATTCCCAGCTTGTCCAGTGATATATGACCTGGTTGTTTTCGTGTAAGAACATTTAATGTTGAAATTTTTTTGGATTCTTTTTATCTTATTTCTGCAATAATTTAACACATAAACCCGACTGGCTGTGGATCTATGACACTCCAGTGAAAAATATTAGTTGACAGAGCTTCCTCTTCAAAATAATTTCTGCCGCTAAAGCTCCAGGAGGTCAAAATGGAACTATAATACAAACAAAGCCACATATATTAAGACATATAAGCGCTAGAAATATGTGTTCTCAGTTGAATAAAATTTTTTATATTAAAATGAATTCATTATCTGCTCAGTATACGCCCCCAGTGAGAGGCTCTCAGCCTCCCATAAGTTAGGGGTGACTAGGCCATAAGTTAACCACGTTAGCCCAGTGCAGGTTGGTTAACTTCACACATATCTTTGAATTTCTTCGCATCTGCGACTCCCGCCATGTACTAATGTGTTTTTCGATTTTCAATTTACATATGTTCTTACGGTGAACGAAAACATCGCGATTCAACCTGTATATATACATACACACCTATATATGTATATACAGGTTGAATCACGATGTTTTTGTTCACCGTAAGAACATATTTAAATTGAAATTCGAAAAACACATTAGTACATGGCGGGAGTCACCGACGCTCTGATAAAATGAATATCTAAAAAATTATATATTTAAAACTTTACATAAAAGTTATAAGTGGTTGACAAGATAATGGAGACTGGAAGTCTTTGTAAAGTACAACGGAAATGAGAGGCTCGAGGCACGGCCAGTGCGTGACAGTGGCCGGAACTTACTGTAAGCAAGTCTTTGATCTCTGACACTTCAAGCACAGCCGGGTATTACAATATGGTAGCTTGATAATTTCTTTCATAAAGTTTTAAATACTTGAGTAACTGTCAAATTGTCTGTCACAAAGCCGTTTAATTGTTACTTAAGCAGTCCCTTAGCATAGTTTTCCATTCTAAACCTACCATAAGGGATACCCTTAGCGAACAATTAACAACTCTAATTGAGGCAGCAAGCTTACTTATTTAACTGAAATATGCAATCGTCAAATGTTTTTTTCTTCGCGTATTTTAAATAATTAGTTTACGTATTAATAAATTATTTTAAATAGCTTCCGTTCTCATAGAACAGTCGACACCTTTCTTCTTATTATCATTGTTTAATTTCCGTCACATTTGGTTTTGATACTATAAATATAACGTTACGCGTAAATATTATAGATATAAAATTCGTGTCATCTTTTAACTAAGAAAAGTTTTTCCCCTTCATCGTAGTTGCGGTAGCTGGCAGTTTAACATATTGCATATTATAACGAGGTTCCGACATAACTAATTGCATCGCAGCAGTCCGCTTTGTGCCCTTTGCCCGTCCAAGAGCCAGTAATTGACAATCAAAACGAGGCCTTTACGCGATGCTAAGAGAAACTTAGTTAACTCCGCGATGTTCAGGAAAATTACTAACGTAATAAGAGGGTAATAAAGTAATGGTATTGGGTGCAGGTCATCTAGGAGGGGTAAGGGGCAAGAGGGGAGGTTGCTTCAATCTGCTACTAAATTTATTAAGCGGCAATTCTCTTGTTCCATGTTATATTTTCTTGTGATCTTCAACAGATTTACGCTAAAATATATATTTAAAGTTTATATTAGAACATATTATATTTTCTGTCTTTAGGTTGCTGTTTATTTTACAAAGTAATTATACATCGTTTTATATTAAGATAGTGTTTTTGTTAAAGCTTCTAACACGCTTTGCACCAGGCACTAGATCATTTACTACAGTATCTAAAGGGTACACCTAACAAACAGTGGTACTTAAACAGAAATCATTCTTACTCAATCTACACTTAGGAACTTCTATTGTGACCGATGACACTAAGTGTGGCAGTTAATCATAAAGCTATTACCGCTTAAAACTGTAGTTATGTTAGGGTGTGCACAGATTTCGTAGTATAATTGATTAGAGCCATACTTCATCGTACGGTCACCATCGGTCACGCGTAATGACGTTTGGTGGCGCTGTCGTCGCCAAATTGAAGTGCCTAAAACCCCAGCCCTTAATTACTTATATGTCCACTCTTCATGTGACTTACTGTTGAATTATCTTGCAATTTATAATTACAAATAGATTAATAACGAGTTATGTAGTTATTTTAATATGATTAACAATTTCTTATACTACTTATGTAGAGTCAATTTGTAAATCAAACAATTAATCGGGTATTTATGTTCTTGAATTTATTTATTAATTCATAACTGCTATAAGCCTATAAGACTACCGTTCAAATATTGTTAATATTCCAACTGAATTGTACGGGAATAAATCTTTCTTCAAGCAATAAATCAATTTTATTTCATTAGCTTTTAGTTCCGATACGAAGCCAATGTTATAATAAACACAATTTACTCCGTTCCGATCTCAAATAGAGACAATACGGATTAAATATTTCTCCATTTCAAGATGATTTAATACTTGAGTACCGATAGAAATCTTATAATACCCAATCATCTGCGACCCGCGATCCGAGACCCGAGACCCGCGACCCGCGACGCCGAGGGACCGGCCGTGCCCGCTCTATTCGATTACTAAGTCCGCTGTCTCAGACACGGTCAGTAAAGAAATGCGATTTCGATTTATCAGATGTTCAACAAATCCGATTAGGTTCTTTGCAATTTAAAATTCAAATGTATTCCTCAGAGTCTATGTTAAGCTTAAAAAAAGCTTTTACTAATTACATTAAAAGATTTATTTCTTATCGTATAAGAACTTGAGTGTTATTTGCTTTGAATTATATAACTTAATTTCCCAACTTAATTATTTAGGTTTTATTTTAAAAAATATGCATACACACAACTCACGCTTGTAAGAAGGAATAGTAGGGAGGATTAGTAGTTTTATTTGATTCCTATCATACTATAATAATATTATAAATGCGAATGTTTGAATGGATGGGTATCCATCACATCGATCCATCCATCCGGATGGATCGATTGATGGATGTTGGTTTGAAGGTATCTCCAGAACGGCTGAACGGATCTCGATGTAATTTGGCATACATATAGAACATTGTCTGGAAGAACACATAGGCTACTAATTTTGTTTTTTTTAATACCGCGCGGACGGAGTCGCAGGCGATAGCTAGTAAAAATATAGGTCAGTATAATCGAATGAAAAGTGCTTAGAAATGATATGGAATGAGGATAACAGGATAAAGCCACATGATCCTTAACTTAAGCGACAAGAGCTCCCCAAGTTTCGCCACTTAAAGCGACTTGCGCTTAAAGTTATCCTTTCATCCCCTTTATCCGGGACCTGTTGCATCCGGCAGTAAAGTAAATCCGAGATAACTCCCGCCCTCAAGTACTCTCTTAGTATATAGTAAAAATATCGCATTTATATTTTTCCAACGTGTTAAATTCGATAGAAAAGATTTCGATACATGTGTAAATTGGTCTGGTGATATGATTTTTACTTTTAGAAAAGTCATGTTTTCGCTTGTTTATTATTATCGAATTTGCAATATTTTAAAATAATAAAAGACAGCAATTATTAGCATTAACTTTCCTTGTCCTTAACGAGGAGTTTTTACTAATTTATGAAATGACAATAAAATCAAATTCTTACACGTATTTAATTCATAAAACATGTTGAATATTTCAAACGATATTATTCGATTATTTGTCACACTTAGACCGAGTCGGTGCTGATATATTAAATTGGTGGCGATATAATATTGTGCAGCTGAATGCACAGAATTAACATCTTGACCGGATGTCTGTCATTTAACAATTGCTAGTGGTTATTCATTCATCAGTTGCACTCACTTGTTGCTTCAAAATCTTTTAACAACGCAATAATGACAAATGGTTCGTTCCTTCAAATGGTCATATTACTAAGTATTCAACTAATACATGGATCACACTTATGAATAGTAACTTAATGCCAACCAAATAAAAGTTTTTTAAAACTATTTAAGTAAAGTGGTAATTGCGGTTTGCGCGAAACTTCCTGCCCCGCACAGCAGCGTTGTGGAATGGTCTGTCCTCGGCGGTATTTCCAAAACACTACGACTTAGGGTCCTTCATGAAGCGAGCTTATCACCATCTCAAAGGCCGGCAACGCATCTGCGGTTCCTCTGGTATTGCTGATGTCCATGGGCGTCGTTGAACACCTCGGTGTTCCCGCTACTCGTTTGCCCCTTCGGTTATAAAAAAATACATATTGTACCAACAGGATATATTATAGGTATACTAGCTGTTGCTCGCGACTCTTTCCGTGCGGAAATTAAAAAAAAAGTTAATAAGTAGCCTATGTGTTCTTGCAGATTATGTTGTACATCTGTACCAAGTTGTAGCGAGATCCGTTGAGGTGTTACGGAGATACCTTCAAATATCCATCCATCCATCTGAACTTTCGCATTTATATAACATTAGTAAGATTAGTAATTCTCTTATAGCATAACTTGCATCTCAATTGAAAATCATAATTTGTCGTAAGAACCATTCTATTCAATATTAGGTATACATTATTGTCGCAAAAAGAATTAACAATAAAGCAATTGTGAATTGTCCCAAGATCAATAAAAGCTTGTTCAAGTAAATGCGAGCCTCTTGAAAGGCCAATTACCGCACAATTTGCGTCGCCCCAGCCAACACGAGCGAAAATTATTGTCTTGAGAACGCGATGATCATTCATATTGAACCAATCTTTATCGAAGAATTTATTTAGGTAAAGATTTGATACCCGAAGGTCTTTCTAGATATATTACTTTTAAGATCGTACACAAAAAGTTAATTATTTTTAGACATAAGTCTCTACTAAAAACACTGTCTTTGATGTTTTCAATATTTTATCATTTTATAAATCCTAAGCTTTAATTATATTCGATTAGAATACGCCTCATATAATTATGATATTGTATGTAGGAGCATTCCTGGTCCCGTATTGCATAATGTTGGTGGTGGGCGGCATTCCACTCTTCTACATGGAGCTGGCGCTCGGACAGTTTCATCGCAAGGGCGCCATCACCTGCTGGGGCAGGCTGGTACCGCTCTTCAAAGGTAAGCTTCCTTTAGGTACTATATCTTCATTTTCCTTCGCGTTACTGGTCTACTGTGTTAACACCATCGCCTTCACCTTTCAAATAGTTCATCCAGCATTTTAGTCGACTCTACGTTCGAAAAATTATTTACTCTACAATTTTTTAAAATACTTCATTTTTGAGTATTTGTAGTTTCTCTTTATTTTGTATATGGTCATGTGAATAAAATAAAAATAAGTAAGTAACTATATCTGACTTAAAAGTATTGCTCTATCTTTTTTCACATAGTAAGTTACTCAGTGTACACTAGATTTATGACCGCTTAAGTTAGTCACGTAGCAACTTAAGTTTGAGAGCTACCCGCTACTAAGTAAAGTGGTCGATGTCTGTGAAATCTTGACTTATAGATATACAATCCTTTTAAACATGAAGAAAAAATATAGCGTTGGATTAAGTCATATTTAAAATAATTTTAGGAGGATTATTTATGGCGATTAGTTCCATTATAAATGCAAGGAAATATTCTTACCGCGTGTCCAAATGTTATTAAGATGAACTGAGAAAATTGCGTAGCTTAGAAGATCTACATTCTTAAATCCCTTTACAAGATTACAATCCCAACGAGATTTTTAATAGGACGTAAGACTTACAAAAGTGATGAATATGACATTGGTACCGACCTGTGTGTCAATGTTAAGTTCTTTTTAAGATTAAACAGTGGTAAAGTTGTTGAGCGTGGCTTGCACTTAACGTCTATAATTGACACCATTCCGAAGGCGCCCCTTAAGTGCTCCGTACGGACTCAAAGGACCGGGAATTTGCGAGGGCGGCTTATGCCCGGTGATTTCATTTCACTCGATTGTCACGTCGCACTGAGTAGCTCCGCGATATGATTTTAGAGGAGGAATAAAATTGGTAATGGACTGGAAAGGTTCTTTAGTGAAAGCATATTTTGCTAAGAAAAGGATTTTTACTTTTTTGTTCTCTTTGCATTATTTTCTTTTATTTCTTTCACTTTAGATTGGTCTGGAAATTTCTAGTTTTGAATAGTTATCTATTTCTTGTGCAGAATTTTTCAAGTATTTTTTTAATGCATTTTAAACAAATGACGATTAAGATTTGTCATCTTTTAGTTTTTTTGGTGCATTATAGGTATTTATTGCTAACATTATCAGGTATAGGATACGCGGTGGTTCTGATAGCTTTCTACGTAGACTTCTACTACAATGTGATCATCGCGTGGGCGTTACGCTTCTTCTTCGCCTCCTTCACCACCATGCTCCCGTGGACCAGCTGCAACAACGAGTGGAACACGCCCTCTTGTCAACCGGTACATTGGCCTCTTGTATTTACCTCATCTTCGCCCTTAGTAAACCGAAATAGGTGTTCTCCATGCCAAATCCACTTCACCTTTCTATCCTTTCCTTATAAGAAAAAGGTTGGAAAGAGGAGTAGAATAAAATTTGGCCTTCCGCAACTGTGTGCTCCCATCAGAACATCGCAGAAAATTTCGACATCACCCTTATCGAGCAAGCTATTTGTGCAGCGCTTAATACTGCTTCGGAATCTACCACTGATAAGACGAACAATAACGACAATCGATCTGTAATAGGTAATCATTAAAAATTATAAACGGTGAAATGTTTTATAATTTTATTAAATATTTTTTTGATAGTTTGAAGCTAACTGGGAAGCATTGGCAGGCAACAAATCTGAACCGCGTCACAACGAATCCGATACTATGGCATCCTCTCAACCCTTTACGTCGGCGGCTTCTGAATATTTTAAGTACGTTTACATCACACATCAATTTTCAGTTTATCCGTTTTTTATAAGAATTACTTTGATTTTATTTTAACATTATAGATTTTATACTAACGTAGCTTTCTAAAACAGCTAGTTTTAAAAAAAAATATTTTCTAGTGAACTTGTACAATTTAATATTTCTAGCCGTGCTATCCTGGAGTTGCAAGGGAGTGAAGGGCTACATGACTTGGGCGCCATCAAGTGGGATATGGCCTTGTGTCTACTGGCTGTCTATATAATCTGCTACTTCTCTCTTTGGAAAGGGATCAGCACTTCTGGCAAAGTATAATATCTTTAGAATTATTATCTTTACATCTTCATCGTTATTTAAATTTCAAATAATACATTTTAAAGACGGTAAATATATGAAATAGTACAAAAAAGCTGGTCAAAGTTTTGGTTTTAGTGAACTATTGTCCTGATTTTCCCAACGATCCTTGAAGACCTGTCTTTACCAGTTGACGTCTGTAGACTGATCTCGATGATAATTTTAGGTGGTTTGGTTCACGGCACTCTTCCCGTACGCAGTGCTACTGATTCTTTTGGTCCGTGGTATAACGCTGCCAGGCTCCGCGACTGGTATACAGTACTATCTCAGTCCGAACTTCGAAGCCATCACAAAGCCACAGGTACGCAAAGTGGATTTATTTTTATCTCACACCTGGCAGTAAAAGACAGTGGATACTTGCGAATTAATATTCTATTTCATTAGATAATATGTAAATATAACAATTGTCATTGGTGAAAATTACACGCAATAAGGATTCGATATTTGATTTCGAACATCAGAGTGCACCCGTTAACACCCTTCTAATATTTATGTTTAAATTTATCACAGGTTTGGGTGGACGCGGCGACACAAGTTTTCTTCTCATTGGGTCCCGGATTCGGTGTGCTGTTGGCGTATGCGTCTTATAATAAGTATCATAACAACGTTTACAAGTACGTACTCGTATACATCTTAGTACTAACATCATTTTTAAAGTAATCTTTCTTTATATAAATTATTGCCGCCGATAACTTTGTAGCCTAAACGTAATTCCAGACTTATCTCTCTTCCAAGTTTCATTCAGATCTGTGCAGTTTTTTTTGGAGTAACGTGGTAAATGACATTCTACCAAACATTCGCATAAATAATATTGTTATTTAATAGTAAGACAGTATATATGTTAAAAGAAAAAGTAAAATTGTAATTATTTATTTTCCAGAGATGCAATTTTGACTAGCGTGATCAACTCATGCACATCGTTCGTTGCTGGGTTCGTGATCTTCAGCGTGTTGGGCTACATGGCGCACGCGTCCGGCAAGCAGGTGCAGGACGTGGCCACTGAGGGCCCGGGCCTCGTGTTCGTCGTTTACCCCGCCGCTATCGCTACGATGCCCGGATCCACTTTCTGGGCGCTGATTTTCTTTATGATGCTACTGACTTTGGGACTTGATAGCTCTGTAAGTTGATGTATTTACAATTGTTTTATTATTTTGCTCTTTTAAATAACATTGTAAATGATTCGTTATATTATTTTAATTTGATTTCTCAGTTCGGCGGTTCAGAAGCAATTATAACAGCTTTGAGCGACGAGTTTCCGCCGATCGGTCGTCACAGAGAGATATTCGTAGCGTGTCTCTTCACCTTGTACTTCTTCGTGGGTCTGGCGTCATGCACCAAGGGCGGCTTCTACTTCTTCCAACTGCTGGACAGATACGCAGCTGGTTATTCCATGCTCGTTGCTGTGTTCTTTGAGGCGATTGCTGTGTCTTGGATTTACGGTAAAGTTTCTATTTACAGATGGAAGCAAATAACCCTCGTATTACGTGATTATAGTGCGGTTTTTAAATATTGCATGACGAATTCAATTAGTCAACAACTCTGCGAATAAGCAAATCGTTTACCCCTTAATAAAAACGTTTTATGCGAATTGATGTAAAATGCAATCATTCAAGTTGACTGAGAATCGCCCGGTTATCTATAAATCCTTTTCTAATTATCTATTGTATATCTACAAGGAACGGAACGTTTCTGCGAGGACATCCGCGACATGATAGGGTTCCGCCCGGGCATGTACTGGCGCGTCTGTTGGCGCTTCGCTGCTCCCGCCTTTCTGCTGTTTATCACCGCGTACGGCCTGCTCGACTACCAGCCGCTCGCCTACGAGGGCTACGTGTACCCCGGCTGGGCCAACGCGCTCGGCTGGGCCATCGCCGGCTCCAGCGTCATCTGTATACCGACCGTCGCCGTGTACAAGATACTTACTACCAAAGGAACCTTCTTTGAGGTAATGTTCTTATGACAATTGGCAACGGCTCTAGGAAGAACTAATAAACCCGACGCTTCAGATTATGCCACAATATTTAAGGAACTTAAAATATTCATTGAGTTCGAAAGAATGAATGTATCATAATAAGCGTAATAAGCTATAGTTTTTAGTCTGAGCATTTTATAGTATGTTTTTGGCTTCATTTTTCACACAATATGGGTTATTTCAGCGTCTACGCATTTTGACGACACCTCTGGCGGATACGGAACGCGGCTCGGTGCACAACGGCGTTGTGGTGTCGGAGAGCGGCGGCGTCAGGCTGACATCCAACGCCGGCACGCCCACAACGCCAACAGCCCCCGCTCCAGACAACAACACCACTGTACTAGCTAACACCGTCGCCACCACCACCAACGTCTCGCTTGCACCGGGGCCTGCGCTCGTCTGAACTCAACTTTCCTTTGACATCTACTACGTGTAGGGATTTAGTCTATGCACGATAAACGATGTCATCACCTTATCTATGGACTCCAAATTGTGACGTGTTAAAAAGTTAGAAACGGGCATGAAGATGGAGTTAATGATGTAAGAAAATAGAAAATATTATTGCAAACTTAACTTTTGCTCTATAATAGGTTAAGTAAATTTTTATGGAATAAAAAGCACACAATTGTATGTATGTGTGTTATAGAATTAGCAAAAATGCAGTTAACAATCATACAATATATTGTTAACTTAGCTTTTCATATAGAATTTGAGATAACATTGTTTTTTATTGATGCTTATGCAATGCAAGCCATAGTAATCCAGGATAACGCTTAGTTTACTAAAATGTCTATTAAAATTAATTTTTCTGTACTTACAATTTTCATAATTTTGTGCAATTTAGCTTCGTTCTTCAATGTAAAATATAATATTTGTAGTGAAACTATGCTACTCTTTAGGATATATGTAGATTTTAAAATTTTATGTAGAAAGAGATGGGAATAAGTTAACAACAGTGGGGTTATATAAGACAAAGTATGGCATATTTAAGGTATTTTATTGTAAGACGAAATGCATATAAAAATTTATTCACTTGTATAATACTTAGGTAATATTATTTAAATTGTGACATAGATTATGTAGCTTGTAAAATATTTCAAATAATTCAGCAAACCGTCGATGTTTTAGCAGTAGTTTTATTGTATTAATTAAAAATCTTACAGTAAGGTTGAAGCTGGAGCAATTAGATCAGGCATAAAAAAACCATAAATGACATTAAGCATACTCATTGTTTATGGTTTGGTCATAGACTATAAAATAATATCAGTTAAAAAAAATTATGATTAAATTTTAGCTATCACGCTTTTCGCGTTTAAGAATGTTACGTTATTTTAGAATGATAAATAAGAAAAAAATACGTGTAATAAGGCATTAATAGTTTTAATGGTTTAAAACGATATACTTATCAAGTAGTTTCGCATATTATTCTTAACATAAGAGTGTAGTATATGACGAAAATGTTAACCTTCAAGACATGTTTTGATCGTCATCTTTAAAATTAGATTAATCTTCTAGTAGATATTATATTATTAGATTTAAAACAATTTTACTTCTAAGAAAACACAATGCTGTGTAGATAATAGAAAGATGTAGATTCTTAGACATTAAGAGAGTTCATATACCCACATATTTCATGCTAATACTTAAATTTAATTACTAATATATATTATCTATTTATCTCTCTTTAAACTCTTAGTAGTTCTATTTGTAGGGGATTGTTAACAGTAGTAAAATATTAACTTTTTAAATCTCTGAATGTTGTTGTTCACGTAGTTTGTAGTATGTGCTCCGTTTTTTATTGAATCGTTGAATTGTATATTATTTTAATATATTTTTGATATTTTATTAATTTTAAGTATAAAATGACTATTCATCTCTCCGTTCGGGCAATGCGGATTGATGAATTGTAAATTTTGTAATTTTTTATGTTTAATTTATTGGAATGCAAGTGAATGTACGCTCCACGTGCTCTGAGCTGTTTTAATAATAGTAGTTCAAGATTGTTACAAGTAGAAAACATTTATAGCTTAAACATATAAAAGCTTATTCATCGTCGCTAATCAATTAATGTTTAACGTAGATCAATGTATTCGACGAATATTTAATAGAAGTAGTTGTTAAAATTAAATACTACGGTCAACGGTCATATCAGCCATTATGACTGTTGATCATTATTAAATTTCTTTTGAACTACGTATGTACTGTGATTTTTATTTAATTACATCCCTTTTTCTATCAAAATTAAAAATGCCAACTATCTAGGGAGTAAGAGCAAAATATTTATATATAAATTTTTTTAAACGATTCTATACAATTCTACTATGCCAAAGTGTCTAAAAACGGAGAGTGTTGTCAAAGCATTAACTTTTGGACTTTAACCCCTGACCTCTGTAAGTAGATGGGCCATAGCTTGGAAATGGCAATTTTTGTATCATTCTGATTGAAATGCGACTGTTGAAGATCCTGACAGTTAATTCTATCTCTATTAGTTTCAATCTTTACCACCGCCATCAACCGTAACCAAATTGCCAATCAAACGCCAAAATGGCAAATATTAAATTGGCACAAAACATAGCGGTTTATAGCCCGTCCATATATAGAGGTTACTGACTTCTACGATGATATTTTTTCATTTCTTGATAGTGTTTATGATTTTCGGAATGTCACTGAAACAATCGCGATAAATCGATTTAGCAACAGTCTATCAAATGTGAAAATCGAGATATTAATGAAGGATTTAAATCAAGTACAGAAAATAAAACTGAATTCGTATTATTTTTCCCGACATACAAATTCCATAAACAAATGATATTCTACAGGAATTAATAGTTACAATAACTAGGACAGCGCTTTAAGTTTTTTCATTTACCGTTGGTTTCTGAGACCTAAATCCCTGTATAAAATACATCGTCATCCCTGTCATTAACTCTAACAGAACAGAGATAACACTATGTTTTTGTAGCGGGATTTTGATTTCAGAAACCCACGGATAGTCATCTTCAATTCGTTCGAAAGTCGTCGTTTATGGTTTAATTGGTTTCTATTGATGGTTTTTCAATAAGATTCTGAGAGAGAGAATCTTAACCGGAGGACAGTAGATTTTTTTATCACAATCGATTCTGATTCCATCGACATTTAAAAAAACAATTATCGTTATAGTATCTGTGGATCTGTGGAAAAGTCAAAAAGTGGCAAATTGTAAAACCATAAATTAACCTGTTACCGTTTCTTCATTAATTTTGCGATAAAATAGTAATTTGTGTGAAAACATTACTGTACAAGAATAAATAAGACATACTTTATCCGTAAGTTCGATATTGTTCAGAATTTATCATGGAAAACAAGTCTGAGGAGCAGTCTACGGCGGAGAAATCGATTTTTAATGCAATAGCACAAGAAGATTTGGATGAGTTTAAGAGTATTTTAGCTCATCACAAGGGTAGTGTTGATTTGTTTGACGAAAATGGTATGACGGCACTTCAGCATGCCGCTTATAAGGGCAACAAGGATATGGTTCAAATGCTCCTTGATAGGGTAAGTTTCTTACACATGATTTGAATTTTATAATATGGGCTGGGTGTCCTATTTGTCTATCTTGCTGTTCAATCTTTTCAGGGTGCGGACGTGAATTCTGGAAAACATGAATATAATTATACCGCCCTACATTTTGGCGCATTGTCGGGCAACTCAGATGTATGTAAATTGTTGTTAAATGCTGGAGCGAAACCCACTGCAACAAACTCTGTAGGTAGAACTGCATCTCAAATGGCTGCTTTTGTGGGGAACCACCATACAGTGGCTACAATAAACAATTTTGTACCTTTATCTGAAATCTCATACTATTCAATTCCTAGAGGTCAGCAGACTGAACCCTATCTCCCACCTGTATTGGTGGATCCATTGCATAAATTTGTCCTCGGTGTTAATATCCATCCTGTCCGATTAGCACTTAATTTACAAAGTTCTCCCGCTCTCCTAGACAATGCTGACAAAGCAAGTAAAGTGCTTGAATTATTAAGTAAAAAAGAGATGACTAGAGGAAGTGATACCAATGAAGTGATGGCATTTAAATATCATTACCTTTCTTATATTCTCAATGAAATATTTAACATTAGAGATAAGCAAAAACCGAACACCGAAAGTAAGGAGGAAAAAAAACATGATCCAATTGAAATATTCTCAAAGAAATTACTAAAGCCTGGTAAAGATGGTGTTTCTCTGGATCTGATGGATGCATTCTTGAAGGACTGTGTAAGAGAGTTTCCATACAGAGAGTGTACAACATTCCACCAGATGGTAACGTCTTTGACCAGTAAAGATCCCCCTCCGGCTCTATCAGTGATAAACTGTACTATAAACGGTCAACGTGGGTTCGTTGATGCGATACCATACTGCAGCACTTGTGGTGAAGAGAAACCTGCTAAGAAATGTTCGAAATGCAAAACTGTGCAATACTGTGATAGAGAGTGCCAGCGTCTGCATTGGTTTGTGCACAAGAAGGCTTGCAACAGAGAAATTGCACCTGTCACCACGTCTACTAACACTAAACCTGTCATAGATGCATCAGAATTAACATCTCAATTGCAAAACCTGGTCGCTGGATAGACTTCCAGTTAACATTTCTTGTGAAATATAAGTTTAATATAGAAATTGTATGCTTTCACGTAAATTGTCCTACTGTAATTCAGTAATTTATTTACCGTCTACTATGATTTTATATATATGTATATCAGAAATCATTTGCATTATATAAATCTATCAATCTTATACTTCAATAGTCAAGTTTTGTATATAAGGAAAATTTTATATGATATTTTCATTGTCTATGGTTCATGATCATTAATTTTATATCTATTGTGTACTCAAATTTGGTCAAAGCCTTTTGTAAAATTATACCCCTATTATTGAATTGGTTTAAACATGTAAAAGATTTAGTTAGAAAAACAATTTAAAACTTATAAAACTTTTAGGTAGAAAATTTAATGTTGTGATTGCTTTCTATATAGTTCTGAGTGCTTTTTAAAATGTGAATTGTACCATTATTACAAGCAATGTGTCTTTGATGTTTATGGCACTTAAATGATATTGAATATGTTTTATTTTTAAATTGATTCTTACTTGAGTGTTGCACCTACAGTATAACATATTTTTGGTTAGAACACGAATGGAACATGATTTTAATTCGTTAAATACAAGGTGTTATTGTATTTCCTTATAAAATCTTTGTTAACAAATCATACTAATTTATATGTTTCATAGATCCTGTGAATTAAATAAATAATCATCACATTCTATATTTGTTTTCGTTTTTTTTCAAACTTGCTGACATTTACTTTAATATGTAAATGCTAATATGGACTCCAGGTGATCTAAAATAAATAAGAAAATAAATGAACGCAATATGTGTGACGTAATTTGACACCAAACACTAAAAATCATAATTTATTTTGACATAAATGTTTCATTTTTAGTTACTAATTTTAAAGATACGTGTGGCTTTCGCGAGATGGCGCTGTTCGTGTTTGCATCGTAATTCAAATGCTTGGTTAGTAAAGAATGTCATTAAAATAAAACAAGCAAGAAAAATTAAAAAATATATATTTATTGTCATTTCTTATTGTTATTATAATGAAACATAATTTTTATTTACAATTATTTACATAAATTATCTAAATAATATTTTCACTTAATTCGTAGTATGCTCATAAAATCTTACAACTAATTGCTTAAATATAATAGTTACTTCTTTATTAAGCTATATTGTTATGAGTTGCTTTAACTTAAGGCACTTTTATCACATTACATAGATTTGCTCTAATAGCCATGAGGTAGGTGAGCGATGTGTATACATCGAAGATAGTTGGGACAAGCTCATACATTCGTTACATTATGTCACCCTTCACCAAGGAGTGCACTTATTGTGAAGCTCTTCACTCGCCGGCAAGGGGCGGGAGCGGGTGGAGCTGGTGATGGAACTCTCGGGGGCGGCGGTGGCAAAGCCTGGCTCCAAGCGAAACCATTAGCCAAGGGACTACCCGCCCAGAATCCTAGAGGCATCGGCATGTGAAGTTGACCGAGATATGGTAGTTCTGGTGGATAGAATGTGGGTGGAGGTGAAATGTTTTCTGGCGGGGTAATGAGAGGTGCGGGGGACTCGACTAATGGCGGCGAGCGAGGCGATGAAGATCGAAGACTGCCTTCTTCAGAGCAGGATGAGGCAGCGTCGGAGCACGGCCGTTTGGGGTCGCTAGTGTCCCCTCTGGCCGGCTCAGTGCTGCCACTGTTGTCGGTGTCCACGTTTTTCCTTTTGCATTTGGATTGACCGCAAGCTCTGAATCCTTTAGCAAACGGATTGTTGTCGATTTTCAACTTCGTGATGCGATCATTCTGTGAACAAAAGATATTCGAATTGATTAGTTTGTTAAAGATTTTGATGTCTTTGATCGTCAACTGTTTACGTATATTTTATTATGCCCAGCTTATCTCTAATTACATTTACTCTTTGGGATTTGCCTCATATATTAATCAAGGCCAAAAATGATATAGTAAATCTTAGAATGTCATGAAAACCTTTGAACTACATATTAACATTATGTGATTATATAAAAACGGTGATATTTGAAAAAAAAACAATTTCAATAAGGAATGCTAAAATGTTCTTTATATTATAAATGTAGCACTAAAACAAAAAATAAAATAACTATTAGCATTTGATCAAATGAGATTTGGTTGTTAATAGTTATTTTACGTTGGCTGAATTAGCAGTGTAAACGATGTATCATATTGCTTACAGTATTTGTGGGTAAAACATAAGTTTTTTCTAAATTCGAACGCTCGGTTGACAAGTTGAGTGGGATAAGCTCGCTCAAGGAAACTGTCTTATCTTTTTGGGAATGCAATTTAAACATCCGTTTCCGCATACATCGCCTGCTGACACTAATAGCTGGTGAGGGATAATTGTTGCACATGTGCGGTACGCTTGGCGACAGGCCAATTAGCGCGGCGCCGCTCGACGCCACCCGCCCGGGACATTGCGGCCCGCCCGGCTCCCAACCGCTGTGCAACACCGGAACGCTAGGCGACACGAGAACCGCTCCACAGTTTGCGCAAATGTTACAGCAAATCTATTCCGACGAAAAAACTCCTAGACTCTGTTTGCACACATTTCGGAATTCGAAATTATCTAGCGAAATCCCGACCGCAAATACGTTCCCAACCCGATACGTGAAATCACTTGTAAATGATTGTTTACATGAGTCGATAAGGCGGCGCCGTCGGGTGCCGTTTGCTTAGTTCGGAGATAACCAGCCGACTCGCCTAGTTAACGAAGAGTGCTAAAAGCGTGTTATTAGCCCACGAAAGTGCACTTTTCGTGGCGGTCGGATAATACGAGAAAGGCGCCCGGGCGCCGCCCCTGGCCCGCCCTGTCGCCCGCGAGTGACATCATGCCTCAAACCTTCAGTCGGCTACGGTTTTTGCGTTACCGTTTCACATATTGGCGACTGTCGCCAGTTTTTTCTATGACTTTTAGAAATGTGTAATTAGGTCCTGTGCATATTTAGTTACGATATCAGGCGGAAAGTTGGAGAGGTCCGGAGTGGTGTTGACAAACGATGACGTAAGTAGAGGACACGGGCAGGACAAATAAACAGTAGGGATCCCGCTGCGTGGGCATTGTGCCGGCATGCCACCTAGTTACGCTTTATAATAAAGAGTCGGACGGTGGCAAAGGGAAGTTTATAATTCGTCGGTAATTCGCAACAATGGGTAAACCGTGTAACGATAGTCCGGCAAGGGATAATGTGCAATGATACGCCGTGCGGCATTGTCCGGCGCGCGGTCCCGTTACTCGGGCGACTGCCGGATTATCCCACAAAGCGGCCGCTCGCCGTAATTGTTAATGTAAATGGAAGCGAGATGTGTTCGCGCCTCGCTGCAGTCAACATGAAGGGAGCCGCTGCGCAAAGGAGCCGCCACGACCTAATTACCGGCCAATGGATTATGCAAGGAGCCACAGCGCCGACGCCGTCGCCGACGCGGCCGCTGTGTGACAATGCCGAGTCTGCGGCTTGCATCACGCAGCACAGCGGGAGTGTCCGCACAAACAAATCAGTGCAGAAGGATTTGATAAATCATATTAAATGCATCACGTGTTCTGCTTTATATTTTTATTATACAATGCTGAAGCATTGAAATCTTCCACTATCCATTTTTCCAGAACAAGATAATTCATGCTTTACAATTTAAAAACACGTCCTATGTTTTATCCGAAATTTTAGTAAGTTCACCCTAATTTTACTTAAGAAAAGTACTTAAAGATAAGAGCCAGTAGTAGCATCTTCAGAAGCATAACGGTTCTTAAAAGTTTTCTTGTACAGAACTAAAGAATGCCGTGTTATCGATACAGTACAAAGTGATTGTTAAAGTGTAACGGATCTAAGATTCATCGTATGGAACAATACCGCCTTGTGTACAGACAAGAGCATCCAAATTAGACTGCATTATTTTTCTAACGAACTACAAGTGACCGATAGGCGCCGCTATTTCTAATTTTTTTGCTCAACTCCGCTTTCAAGACCATAAAAGCTTTGGCGCCTATAATAAAGCGTAAAAAATCAGTCGTACGCATAAGTGCAAATCACGCCCGGTTCTCAGAATACTAGCGTATTTTCTTGGAAGAGTCATAAGTGTGACTGTAGCGGAGTTCCTACTGATCTTAGATTTGATACTAATCTTACTAATATTATAAATGTGAATGTTTGGATGCATGGATGTTTGTTTGAAGGTATCTCCAGAACGACTATACGGATATTTAAGAAATTTGGGATACAGATAGAAAATGGTTCGGAAGAACACATAGGCTATTCAATTTTTTTTTTAAATCCGCGCAGACGGATTCGCGGGCTAAAGCTAGTTTTGTATAAACTTGATAATCTTGACTTTAGTAGTTCTTAAAGTCTTGTTTATGATAACCAATTTTATTAAACTGTTTTATCTATAAATGTTATTGCTAATAGTTTGAGTCAAGCTTTCACCTAGTGCCACTTTTCGTGCTAAAACATTAACTTTATGTTGTAGCTATTAGTGTAATATTGATAGGCAGGTTTTGCATCATAAAATCAAACAATGACAACCCTGTTTAACTTTCCGTAACGACTAGCAATGCAATCCGTTGGTCTTTTACTTTCTACAAGGGTTTTATTATGACTCCGGTTGCTTTTTTCTTTCCTGAAAAATGTATTGTCTCTAAGAAAGTGTTACAAACCTGATATGCAGTAACAGCGATGAATTCAGTCTCTGGGAAGGAGAAGGCGGCGTGTGGCGCGCCCCACGCGAGCGCGGCCGCGTCGCGAGCTCGCACCACCACAGCGCGTGGCCGATACTTATGCATCGAAGTTAACACCATCTATCAGAAATACATATATATTAACATCTGAAGGTTTATCCGCATATTAAGATTATAAAACTTAGGCTTATTTTAAAATATTGTGCAGGACAAAAAGATAAAATTAGAAGAAATAAATTAATATGTAGAAAGAATTTTTAGATCTTTGGTGGTCTTCAAATCAAAAAATAATAATTTTAATCAAAGAAACTAGGTAAATACAATGTAATTAAATAACAAGGGATTTTGATAAATATAGACGCAACGAATAAACGCATCGTTTTTTGTGCAAACTATACAAACTAATTTTTTATGAATTGTTCACGACAGCTAATTTTAAAAGGTTCGTAAAACATTTCTCGTTGGAAGAATTAACTAAATTTATTATAACTTTAGACATTTATTACGTAGGCTTGGTTGTATGTGGGTGATAATCGTCGGTTGATCAATGCTCATCTCAAGAAATGGAAGTTTTATAGTCAATAAACTATGTCCGTATTATTTGTGAATAACAGTTAAACGATTGTTCACAAAACTTGATGTCCAGATTTTAAAATATTGAAACAAAATTAAAATGCCAAAAAAAGCTTTTGCAAAATTAATTAACGCCGATATAAGTTTGTTTGAAACGCTTAAGCCCGGCGTCGGATGTCGCGTCGGGCGGCGGACGCCGGGCGGCGTGCGGCAGCGGCGTCTGCAATGGGCCCTTATCTACAAGTACTTGACGCGCGAAAATTGGCTACCTGCGCCGTTTGCGACCTCTTGAGGCATAAAGGGTTTTAACATTGTTAAAACTATGTCGTTTTCTACGGTATTTCGTACTTTTACTTAGACTTTTATTTACTAAAAATATATTTATGTGATTTTGAATAATTCTATTATTTAC